CTCATGGTTCATGTACAAGGGCCAGGCAGCTCTCCTGAGAGAAGAGGTAATTAAATTTTGCTCAGTCATGCAGGTAGAGAGAAGCAGCTCTTGATAATCCTGCCTCTTGTCCTTGCATGTCTTTGTAACACACTCCGTGGCAGCTGGCCTGGCCTCTCCAGAATGCACGAGCTGGAAATGCACTCCTGCAGAGTGCTGGGGGAGCTGAGGACACTCCTTAGGCTTCACATGGTCTGTGGTTTCTGTCCTCAGAAAAAAGGTGTCACAGAATCACAGAATCACAGGATGGCTTGGGTAGGAAGGAACTTTAAAGGACATCTCGTTCCAAGCCTTTTGGGCAGGGACACTTCCCCCTGGACCAGGTTATCTCCTGGCAAAACCACCACCAGCACAGTCCCCTCAGAGAAGGAAACTTCATTTGTTAAAGGAAAGGATCTCATCCTGTTTCTACAGCTTCTCCACTCATCAACTCTGCACGAATCTTTCTGCAGACATGGCGTGCAGCCTACACCCTCACCAGGCTGGCCAAACAGTGACAGCAGCTCAAGCAGCACCCATCAGCCCTTCAGCAGCAGCTGGCTCTGGCACATCTCCCTTTGCTGTGTGCAGGACATGCTGCTCTAACTGAATTGAGGGAACCAGGACAGTGCAGGATCAGCCCCTGCTCTGGACAGTGCCATGAGTGGAGCTAAAGCCTCAACTCCCCAACTCCAGGTACAGAGGGCACAATCCCACCAGTCAGCAGCAGAGTCAGTAAAGAAAACAGAGAGCTCTGACACCCAGTTCATTGTAGATAAAAAAGGTCAGAATCCTTGATTCCATCTTACACAGGAGAAACTGAGGCACAGAACTGTGACATGACCTCTCAGGGCTGAGGACTGAGAGCTGGTTTCAGTTCAGCACTCTGTCCAAGGCCAGCACTGGCTCCATCACACAGACTTGGGAGCTTTAATTCCCATCACACAAATCATCTGCACCTGCAGAACTTTTCCTCCCCAGCCCCCCCTCTTTGGTGGCATGCTGTCCCATTCTAATTCACAGTCCTCCGGCCAAAACATTCCCTTCCTGGCATGGATGAGCTCTGCAGCACTCAGAGGGTTCACTCCTTGCCCCCTAGGAAAAAGGCAGCTCTTCTCCATGGAGAAAAAGAAGTGGAGAGGAAGAAGCCTGAAGGTGAAACCCCCTGCCTGAAAGAACCAAGACCTGTGGAAGGATCACAATTCTTCAGTCCCAGTGGGTTTGGGATGGCACCGCAGAGACTGATGCAGAGGGGTGCTCCCAAATGCCCCCCAACACGCAGGGCACGTGTGGTGCTCCAGGATCTGGTCCTGAGAGCAGCTCTGAGATCCCCACGGGTGCCACCACAGCCTGATGGCGTCCCTTTGTTACTGCACGAACTCTTTTACTGGTGCATTCCACCATCTAGTGGAGATCTCGGAGAGGACAGAGTGCAGTGAGGTGAGAGGGCAAGAGACACAAAACCATAGGACAACTAAAAATGGAAACGACCTCCAAGATCGTCAAGTGAAACCTCTGCCTGAATCGCACCCTGTTCACAAACCATATCATGAAGTGGCACGGTTACTCATTTTTTGAACACTTCCAAGGGATAGTGTCTCCACCACTGCCCTGGGCATCCTGTGCCAATGCCTGACCACTTTTTCAGTAAGAAATTTTCCCTAACATCCAACCTGAATCTCCTCTGGCACAACTTGAGGCCATTTTCCCCTTGTTCTGTCACTCATCCCCTCAGCTGCTCCTCATCAGATTTGTGCTTCAGAGCACTGTACAAGTAGTAACAGCTCTTGTTCCTACATCATTTTGTATCTTACTCAAGATCCTTTGGTTGCTCAGGGTAACAGATGTGTTTACTTTGCACTTGGATGAAAACTTGGTCGAGTTCAGAGCACAAGTGTAGACTAGTGAAAGGATTTGAACACTTTACACAAACCCTAATTAATCCTGCAAATGGAGACCTCAAGGAGCCATACAGAAGGCTCACAGGGAGCGTCCTGCTGTGTGGAAGAGGACGCTGGACAGTGCTTGACACTTGTCAGTGACTCCACATCACCCCTATGAAGTTTATATTAATCACGAGGTGAAACCCAGTGATCAGCACTGGAAACCAGTGGAAATCAAACATAGAGCAGCTTTCACAGTGTGTTCAAGCACTGGGTCCTGGCTTTGAACCACGTGCTGATGGCAGTTGGTTAGGAGAACCTAAAAATGGAGATTTTTACAGTCACCTCTATAGAAGGAAGTCCAGCATCCTATCTCAGATAGTACACACCAGCATTGTTAAGAAATTCCACCCTAAACCACTAAAGAAGCCTTTCAGAAGGCATTTGGATCACAGCAGGAACTATTTCATCACCACTTCAGCAGTCACAGAGTGTGAATATGGAGCAGGGCAGCTGAAAATCACCCTCATGCCTTGATTTTTAGCTGTCTGCACTATTCTGTACTTAAAAATCAGCCAAGGTTTTGCAGCTTTTCACAGGTACTCAGAGACAGAAATGCCCAGGGCACTTCAGCAGCACATGAGATGCTCTACCTGGAGGTGTTCAAGACCAGGCTGGACAGAGCTTGGACCAACATGGGATAATGGAAGGTGTCCCTGCCCACAGCAGGGGGTGGAACAAATGGACCTTTAAGGTCTCTTCCCACCCAAACCATCCTGGGATTCTGTGATTCCAAGTGTCCTGTCTGTCCTTGGTGATACCAGAGTTCTCCTCTGCTGTTAACAAGGGATGGGGTCAGGGTGGATGGGGATGGTGACAGGGATGTCCTCACCCACACTGCTGCCACCTGGGGCATGTGCAGGGCATTTGGAGTAGGAATCAGTCAGAAGAGCATGAGCTGACACCCACTTAACACGATATGTTGAGGATATATCAGACACCTGTGGTGACAAGCAGCACTGGTAACAGCAAAGACAAAGTGTTTCACTGGTAACAGCAAAGACAAAGTGTTTTCTTTGCAGTGCTGCCCAGTGGTGGGGTGGCAGCCAGCCCACACTGCAGATCCCACAGGGGTCTGCATCTCCTGGATATTCTGTCAGGAACACTCCAGGGCAGGGCCATCTTTAGCCACTTCTTTCACAGGTCACAGAGAAAAGAGACACTCTCTGAAAATGGTATTTCAGTCTCAAAATCTTGCTGCAACAGGTCATCCTGTCATCTTCATGTAAGAGGAGGCTGTGAATGTTCTGACTGGAATAACTGCATGTATATATCATACATATTATATAATTTATTATTATCACTGTGATTAATACATGTAACATCACAATCAGCCTTTCCCTGTACAAATAGGCCCCTAAACTGCAAGGAAGTTCAAGTGTTTGAGGATTCCAGTCTATTCATTCCTTGCATAATCCCAGTAACACATTAACATTCCCCAGAGCTATGCCAGTCCTCCCAGCAATGTTTTCCAGTTAAACTGTTTTGCTGTGAATCAAATCCTGTTAAATAAACAGAGCAGATCCATTTCATCTCATTTCACATTTCTGAAAGGGAAATATTCAGTCTGTATTTTGCTGAGAGCTGAGAACAAGGCACTGCGAGGGCAAAACTTACTGAGGGCAAAATTAAGGGTGAAACACATGTACTCACATACACTTTCACCCACTTCTGCAAAAAGCAGATGTAATTTTGCATAACTTGAGATATTTGTGATCTGACTTTTCTGGGTCATTGTTATTCCACACCATTTAATGCTCACAATAGCTCCCAGTGAGTGCAGTTCTCTCCTGAGCACCACGGGATGTCCAACCCCTGAGGCCTTTAATGAGGCACTGAGAAAAGGATTTGTGTGTGCCGAAGTTAATGCTCACATCGAGGTTACACACATCTCCACAAGGATGGACTTCTCTTCAGCTACAAGACACTTGTCTGGTAGCTGAAGTGGAATGTCTTGTGCCCCACTCATGAAATGGGGAAAGCTGGGATGTCTAAAGGGAGAGCTCAGCCTCCCTGTGCCTTATCAGGATGTGCCACCAGGCAGTGACAGTGACAGCCCAAGCACACACAGCCCTTGCAGCTGTCACCCATCTCACTGCCACCAGAGCCATGGCCACTATTCTGCAGAAAAGGTGCTGGAAATGTTGTTTTTTTAATTTCCCACTCAGGAGCTACTTGTAGGACAGCAGAAAACAGGAAGGGTCCTTTGTGGAGGAACAGATCAGCGTGGCCAGGTAATTCTGAAAGCAGATGCATCCTCCAAGGGGGCAGCAAGAACTGCATTCCTGTGCAGGGTCACCAAGTGCCAGCAGCGAGGGGACAGCCCCAGCCCATGGGAAGGCAAAGTGACATCTCTGCCCACAGAGCTATCAGCACCCAGGGGACATGTCCAAGGGGAAGTGTGCTGGCAGGACACACAGACACCAGAAAATGAGACCAACAGTGGCAGAATCCACCTCAGGCACAGCTGAGGGAGCTGGGAAGGGTCTGGAGCCCCAGGAGAGGCTGAGGGAGCTGGGCAGGGGCTCAGCCTGGAGCAAAGGAGGCTCAGGGGGCCCTTGTGGCTCTGCACAGCTCCTGCCAGGAGGGCACAGCCGGGAACAGGGACAGGAGCAGAGGGAACGGCCTCAGGCTGGGCCAGGGCAGGCTTAGGGTGGATTTTGGGAATTTCATCGCTGAAAGTTTGTCCTGGCCTAGACTGCTCAGGGCAGCGGTGGAGCCCCCATCCCTGGAAGCGTTCAAGAAAGCTGTGGATATGGCACTTGGGGGCATGATGAGGAGGTGTTCGTTCATAGGTTGGACTGGATGATAGTAAAGGTTTTTTCCACCCCAGTTCATTCCGCGATCCCACGGCCGCTCCCGCCCTCCATGAGGCGCTGAGGGGGCCGGGGCGGGACAGAGGGAGGGGCTATGCCGGCTCCGGCCGCGCCCCCGAGCTCAGGCTCTGGGCCCGCCCCCTGCCTGCCCCGCCCCGCGCATGCGCAGAGGCGCAGCAGGGCCTCATGCGGTTCCCAGCCGAGCCGGCCGGGAGCGGCGCCGCGCGCGCTCCGCACCTCCCGCCCGCTCCCCCCGCGCGCGCGCTGTCCGCGCGCCCGGCGGCCCCAGGTGAGAGCGGCGGGCGGGACCATCCGGGCAGCGCTGTGGGGGGGGGGGAGCGGGTGGGCGGCAGAGCGGGACCACGCGGACCCCGCGGGCCTGGCGGCGGGGCCACGCGGGCGGCGGTGGCGGGAATTTATGGCGGGAGGAGCGGGCAGGGCACCGGCCCTCAGCGGAGAGTGGGACACGGCCCGGGGCTCGCTGTCAGCAGTGTCAGCGGGCAGGGCACCGGCCCGGGGGTCGCTGTCAGGAATGGCAGCGGGCAGGGCACCGGCCCTCAACGGAGAGTGGGACGCGGCCCGGGGGTCGCTGTCAGCAGTGTCAGCGCCCGGAGCGCGTTCCCCTGGCAGAGCCCGCGCTGAGGCGGTGCCGGTGTCTGTCGCGGCCAGGCGCGGGGCAGATGAAGTACATCCTGGTCACGGGCGGCGTGATCTCGGGCATCGGCAAGGGCATCATCGCCAGCAGCATCGGCACCATCCTCAAGTCCTGCGGGCTGCATGTCACCTCCATCAAGATCGACCCCTACATCAACATCGACGCCGGCACCTTCTCCCCGTACGAGCACGGTGGGTGCCCCGCGGGCTCGGTGTCGGGGGCTGCCGGGTGGCGCCGGGGCTGTCTTGGCTTGCCGTGAATCGTCTCCTTTGTAGGAGCCTTTGTGCCTGCTCCTGAGCCTGCCAGCACTGCGGCTGCTGTGCTCACAGCACAGATGTGCTCTGCCCTGTTCTTGCTGCTGCCCGAAGGGGTTCGGTCCCCAGTGCGCTGCTCCTCTCGGTTATTAAGGCTTTTAGTTCTGTTCGCCGCTCCTGAACTTGCTGTGGCAATCAGGGAAGGAGTTTCCTTGTGTTGAATTGTTCCAGTGCCCGACACGTGTGCCCGTGCCTGTTTCTGTGCCCGCAGGGGAGGTGTTTGTGCTGGATGATGGAGGGGAAGTGGACCTGGACCTCGGGAACTACGAGCGCTTCCTCGATATCCGACTCACCAAAGACAACAACCTGACCACGGGGAAGATCTACCAGTATGTCATTAACAAGGAGAGGAAGGGAGATTATCTTGGCAAAACGGTCCAAGGTGATGCAAAACTTCTTTCCTGGTGCTTAGAAGTGCGTTCTGTATTTCAGCCCTGGCTGGATGTTTTTGCCTTTCATCTTCACTCGAGGCTCTGCACCATCTTGCTTGTGTTTGGACTGTGCTGGACTTGGGTCCAGCTGGCTAATGTACCCAGTGATAAATGTGAATAGACTTCAGACCAATACACTTTGGGCTTGTTTGTTAGCTGGTTAGAATGGTAAATGCTTTTCTTAACTCTAGCCATTAGAAAACCCAAAGTATTTGTGAGTATCAGATCAGTCCCTTTCCTTTTTAACCACTCTCCACAGCTGGTTGACATAAGGACCTTTACAGACAGTTAAAAACAGTGTTACTTTCTCTACTTAGAGCAGAGAACAGTTTGTGCTTGAATCTTTCAGCTTAAAGGAAACGTTGCTTACATGTGTTTAAATTAAGGCAGGGTTCAATTTCCTGCCAAGGCCCTTGAAAATCACAGCCAAGAATAATCACTTCAAAAATGCACAGTTCTTTAAAGACAAAAATTCCTGCTCAAGCCCTGGCTAGTGATTGTCAGTAATTTGCTCTCTAATGAGTTAAGAGGGAGAAACGTGTGGGGGCTTTAACCCTTGCCTGGGTTTCTTTTCCAGTTGTTCCCCACATCACAGATGCCATACAGGAATGGGTAATGAGGCAGGCACGGATTCCTGTGGATGAAGATGGCATTGAACCCCAAGTTTGTGTGATTGAGGTTTGTAACTTTTTAAAAGCAGATAGTTTTGTTTCTTGTATGCAGTAAACTGATCTATATGCATGTTTTTCTTTACAGAAATGTTCAACTTTGCATGTAATTGAATGGGTTAAAAATTCCCTTTGTTAATTTCACTTATTAATCTTTTGAGTTGCAGCTGCCTCATGAGGGGCAGCCCCACGGGACCCCAGGGCACAGCTGGAGCTGTGTCAGGGGAGATTTAGGCTGGAGATCAGGGCAAGGTTCTTCCCCCAGAGGGTGCTGGGCACTGCCCAGGGAATGGGCACTGCCAGAGCTCCAGGAGTGTTGTTCAGGGTGGGATTGTTGGGGGGTCTGTGCATGGTTTTAGACTGGACTCAGTGGGTCCCTTCCAGCTCAGGATATTCTGTGAATCAAGCTACAGAATGAATTTTTCAGCTCTTGTAACTCAGTATGCCAGTCTGAGTTAATTGTGCTGTACCCTCTTCTTTGGGGGATGGAGGGAGGGGAGGTAAATCCCCCTCTGGGTTCAGCTGTCTTTCCTCCTCCAAGTGACCAATTGAAGCACAGACATGCAGCAGGAATGGCACAGGTTAGTGGCACAGGTTAGTGGCACAGGAAATGGCACAGGTGGCATTCCCAGGGTGCTCATGGAACATTCTGCTGCCAGAAGGAGACAGAGCAGGGTGAAGGCTCTGGCAGTGCTGAGCTGGCTGCTGGCACGTGCCAACACAGGAGAGGGAGCTTGTCACAGAGCCCAGGTCAAGGTGACTGGGACTCTGCCTGCACCTTGGGTGCCAGTTTGTGTGCCAGGATCACAAGCCCAGGTCTCAAGTACCAAGGAGGCACTGTCTGACAGCCTGGGAGGCTCCAGGTGTGGTCTTGCATCTGTTCCTGCATGTGCCCACTCCATATAGTTCTAAAACTTAACAGAAATCTGCTTCTCAGTGCCACCTAATGTTCATAAATCATAATTTTCACATCTAAGTATTTTCCCTGACTAGAAAATAGAAGTCAGGCTGATGTCTCTGAGGTGCTGCCCATAGGGGAAGCCGTTTTTTCTTGTGGCCTTTTGATATGTGGGGAAACGATGGCAGTAGAATAGCACCTGGAGTATATTGCTGTGTGGATTTTCATGTCTTCAGTGTACACCTGCAGCAGGTTTGGGCAGTATCTGTAACTCCCAGATAAAAAAACTCAGTGTGTGTTTGCCAGCTCGGGGGCACCGTGGGTGACATCGAGAGCATGCCTTTCATCGAGGCCTTCCGCCAGTTCCAGTTCAAGGCCAAGAGAGAGAATTTCTGCAACATTCATGTCAGCCTGGTTCCCCAGGTAAGGATCTGAAACATGCTGGTGGGCAGAGGCCTCCTCAGTCCAAAATTTCCTAAATAGGTATTTCTGAAGTGCTGTTACTTCTGTATTTCTGTGTATGTATAAACTTCTGGCAGAAGTGCAGAGATTATATGCTTATGTATTTAAAAAGTCTTACAGGAATTGAAAAAGATCTTTTCAAAGGGTGTAAATGTGTAATAAAGGTTTGGGAGTTGCAACAATGCAGCATGAGCATTCCTTGTGTCAGACTGAACTGGATTTGACAGAGAAAATTGATAATTATGGAATGCAGACCAATGTTGGTTCTCTTCTCCCTTTTCCCCCTTCTGTCCAGGCCAAGTGATTTATAGAGAAAAATCAGAAATACAGAACATTAGGTATTTGGAGGGAGCAGTGGATAAACCTTAGGCTCTCTGTCCCTCTCCTTCCTGCACTCCAGTGGGCAGACTGGGGCTTGGGTCCCTGCTGTTGCTCTCAGTCCTGGGGATTAAAATGGGCTCCATGAGCTTCATGTGAATTGTCCAAGAACTGAATCCAAGTTTTGATGAGATGTCCTCATTAACCTGCTGAATCATTGCTGCCTATCACAACCTGATCCACCCACTGCTCTTCTCTGGCCAGCCAAGCTCGACAGGGGAGCAGAAGACCAAGCCCACCCAGAACAGTGTTCGGGAGCTCAGAGGCCTCGGGCTCTCTCCAGATCTGGTAAGGTTTGTGTAGCTTTCAAGTTTGTGGCTTTCAATGTAAAAATCTGGCATGTTGCAGCAGCAGTCTTGTCTAAGTAATGCTGAATTTGAGAGCTCTTGTATAGTTGTGATAAATAAGGAAAAGAAACTGAATTGTGGGGGTTTTTTTCCCTCAAATCAGAGACTGCACAAAGACAGCTCTTTTTAGAGGTTTGTTTTATGAATGCCTGAGTGTTTCTGTTTGCCTCACAACCCTGATGGTGCTGCTGTGTTAGATTGTTTGCAGGTGCTCCACTCCACTGGATACCTCAGTAAAAGAAAAGATTTCCATGTTCTGTCATGTTGAACCAGAACAGGTGAGGATTGCTGTCTGTGCTTCCTTGCAATAAATACTGGAGCTGCTTGTCAGATGCTGAGGGGGGTTTTGTCAAGTGCAGCAGTTCCAGCTCTGTGTTTTGGTAGCTGCATAATTCATTTGCTGCTTTGTCTTACCTCCCTTCCTGACACATGAACCTGTTGCTAAAGCAATTCTTTTTGTGCCAGCACCCAGGTTTTCTTGTGAGGTGATTGGTGTAAGCTTAGAGAATTCTATGGAATCCAAGGTGATTTCTGAATCACTGTTTTGACCTTAATTATAGTTCCACATTCCTCCTGCGAACATAGAATGAGATTTTTCCAGTATTTAGAGGTGAAAAGATTACCCAAAATTAGTTTTAAAGGCTATATTACTGTACTTCTGCTCTTTTCACAATATTATTCTTCTGCTCAAGAATTCTTGAGGAGAGATTTCACAGAGGTTGAAATGGTGTTTGGGAGAAGCCCTGCTTCACTTGAAGGTTGTGATATGCACAAATTCCATGTTTGCACGATTCTTTCTATACTGAGACTTGTAACACATTCTAAGGTGGACCTTGGAAAATAGTTAAAAGTGTAGGCTGAGTTTTAGCCCTTTGCAATCCATCTGGAACTCAAAAAATGTTGTCTTTTTGTGAAAGACTGAGTATAACTTCACAATCCCATGTTCTGTCAAGTAATTTTTACTAATCTGCTCTATAGCAAGACCAAACTTGAGTCCTGCAGTTCCAAGCACTGCACTGCTGGCAATAATGTTGATGTGTCATCAGTGAAATATCTACCTCTTGTTGGCCAGGAATTCAAAATAAGTTGGCTCTTGTCCCTTTCCAGGAAGTTTAATGCAGTTCTATGTAGTTGCTGCTCTGACTGCTGTTGCACTTGGATTGAGAAGTGAGCAGTAAAAGAGGAAAATGTGCAGCCAAGGAGGTTTGACTGGTGCAGAACTGAACTCTGCTCTCCTTTGAGTCAGTAGAAATGAGGATTTAAAGAAGTTTTGCCAGTGTGTTTTGGATCCCTAAAGTACAGCTTCATTATTAATGGACAGGTGACATTTGTCCTGAGCCATCTTTTCCCATTTCAGTTAACTAGAACTGTAGATGCAGATTTTCCTCATTGACCTTAGAATTCTTTGCTCATAATTGTGCAATCCCAAATTGGATGAGGGACACCCTGTAAAGTGTATTGCTGTCCTGGGGTGACAGATTGCCCTGGGTTTCACTCAGACTGGGAGCCTGGTTAGGAAGCACAGTGGAGGGAAGGGGGAAGCTGTGACTGTGGCAGTTTGACTGTAGCTTCACTTGTGATCCTGTATCACACGAGTCTCTCTGGAGTGTTCTTTGAACTTTGCTGAGTGCTGCTCACATGAAGTGCTGGACAGCTGACTCCTGCTGCTGGGTTACTGTGTTCCAGCCCTTCCCAAGGGGCTCTAGGGAGCAGTAATGCCTTGGGAGTGCTGAAGTGGCTTTTTCAAGTATAAGGAAACCAGTGTTAAACTACTGATAGGTTATATTGTGATGGTGTTCACAGGGGTCTGAGGATGAGGGAAGAGACGAGGATCTGACTCCATGTTTCAGAAGGCTGATTGATTATTTTATGATATATATTAAAACTATACTAAAAGAATAGAAGAAAGGATTTTATCAGAAGGCTGGCTAAGAATAGAAAAGGAAAGAATGATAACAAAGGTTTGTGGCTCAGACAGAGAGTCTGAGCCAGCTGACTGTGATTGGCCATTAATTAGAAACAACCACATTGGCCAATCCCAGATGCACCTGTTGCATTCCACAGCAGCAGATAACCATTGGTTACATTTTGTTCCTGAGGCCTCTCAGCTTCTCAGGAGGAAAAATCCTAAGGAAAGGATTTTTCAAAAACTATCATGGCTCCATTATATTATTCAAAATGTTATTGTCTGGAAGTTTAGGTGGTCATAGGGTTTTCTGCTAGAGGAACACTCAGAATATCTGAGTAAAAATGATTGTACAGGCACTGGATGGCTGTGTTTTAATGCTGTCATTCTTTTATGAACAGGTCATTTGTGTCCATGATGTCTCCTCCATCTACCGGGTTCCTCTGCTGCTGGAGGAGCAGGGAGTTGTGGACTACTTCAGGCACAGGCTGGACCTTCCCATCGAGAGGCAGCCCAGGAGGATGCTCATGAAGTGGAAGGAGATGGCTGACAGGTGAGCTGCACTGCTGGGACACTGCAGCACACTGCAGCATTGCTTTCTGGTCTTGGTTCTTTGAGATGATGTGTAATTCCCTGTCGGGTCCGGCTGTCTGTCTCTGCCCCACACGGGCAGGGTGGTTCTTTGGTGGGCGCGATGCAAAGGACGAGTCTGGACTCTTCAGTTTTTCGGTCTTCAGGTTGTTTATTATTTCTTATCTACAAAATTTTTCTGTCTGCCCAACAGAGGTCTGATCTGCAAGCAGTCACAGGCACTCTCTGACCACCCACGGGGCGGTCATGTCTTTTTATACTAAAACCTACGTATACAATATTTACCTTTATTTCCCAATGCTTTTCGCCCATGTTGGCAAGTGCACCTTCACCATAAACCAATCTCTAAGTGCCAACATCACCACAGGAGATGGAGGACAAGAAGAAGAAAGAAGAAGGACAAGACACGCCCTGATCCCTCCATCTTGTCTCCATAACCCCCCTGTACCAAAAACCTTAAAGTCTATATCTCACCCTCTAAATGTGTCTCTTTTACACCTTGTACTCTAAAGTGATTCTCTTGTCCTCAGACTCTTGTTACTTCTGTGGATGGATCAAAATCAAGCCACCAAACACTCTTGGCAACATTCCAGGATTTTCGAGACCCCCAAGGGTTCTCCTGGCATCTCTGGACATCGGGAACGATGTGCTGAGATCCCACAATTCCCTGTTCTTAAGTGTGTTCTTACATGCTCACATTGGTTTTTTTTCTTTTGCTCAGAGCCCCATCCAAACTTTGAATGTTTCCAGGGTGGGGAATCCACAGCTGCTGTGGGAGGTTCTTCCCAAAGCATTCATATTGAACTCACAAATTTTTATTAATGCTTTCAAATGGAAATGAAAGTTATGTGTTATCTCAGGCTTGATGAAACCAAAAGTCCTACAGCTACAACTTCTGTTCCTCCTGCTTGGTTTAGCTGAGCCTTAATGCAGTGATGATCCTGCAGTCCCCTTGGAGGTGAAGACAGACCCTGACTGGATTAGAATGTGGAACTGTTTATTCCAGCTGGGTTTCTTTTGCTTGCAAGGGCTGCTCTGAACTTCATTCATTCATGTGTTGCTAAAACAACTGCATGGGTTTCAGACAACCTGTGCCAGTGCCTCACCACTCTCACTGTACAAAACTTCATCCTTATATCTGCCTAAATCCCCCCTCTTTTAGATTAAAACCATCACCACTTGTCCAGGCACAACAGACCCTACTAAAAAGTCTGTTCCCATGTTTCTCATAAATTCTCTTAATGGAAGGCTGCCATAAAATCTCCCTCTCCCTGGGGCTTTTTCTTCTTCAGGCTGAACCACCCCAATTCCCTCAGCCTTCTCTCCATAAAATCCTGTGAGATAAACTGAGTGAGATCCTTATCTTGTGTTGGAAGTTTACTGCCTGAGTCAAACCCAGCTTGAAGTTATTAACAGCTGGACAGCTCTGCCCTCCCTTTTTATTAAAAAACAACTTCTCAGTAACATTACAAAGTGTTGAAATCCTTTTGTAGCTATATGGAGATGGCAGGAGTGTCAAAGAATATCTTTGAGAGTTCTTTCAGGTAAGTGGGACAAGTGTTTGGTACCTGTTCTGAGACTCCTTGGACACTGGGTTTTTTTCTTGTGAGGCTCAATGTTCATGGGGAAATAGTGAATAGAGTCTTTTCAGAAAGGGCTTGAATGTCAGCTGAAGCCTTAAATATGTTTGTTCTTATAAGAAATTAATTTTCAAGATCTAGATGTTTTCCTTGATTTCTGTGCCTGACATAAGCCCTGTCAATAACATTTCCTTTGATGGGGAAAGCCCTTGGTCACCAGCTGGGCTGAGGGTATTTAGCAATTCTGGGAGAAACTTTAAACAAACCCTTGGCTGTGGCCAGGAATTCTGTGTGAATCCTGTGCTGCCAGGTGCTGGGGATTGAAAGTGGAGGCAGCACAGCCTTAGGGCTGCAGAAATGCTTTCTGTGTTTGGGGCTGCTGGTAGGAGCTGAGCAGCAGCGTGGGAAGATGCTGTGCAGTACAAACATACACCAAGCTGTGCTTTAATCCTCTCCTAGGAGTTCACTGCAGCTTTTGGAACTAATACAGCTTCCTGAAAAGGCAGTTTGGATCTGCTCAGAATGGCTTTTCATCATCAGGAGAGATGAGTTAATTTATGTGTGGCTTTCTGCAACTGTTTTCCTCAGTCGTTGTTGTGGTTTTGATCTCGCTTTGATGTTTCTAAATCAAAATGATTGTAAAAGGTCACTCTTGCAAGGACGTCAGCTCTGTTGGACACACTTAGGAGAACAGGAAAAGTTTGTTTGTTCCTTGGAAAGCTGAACAGAATGGAAGATTCCATCCCTCCCCTGTTAGTGCTGGAATAACCTGTGTGCTCTGGTGTTCTGTAGGTACGACCGTCTGCTGGAAACGTGTTCCATTGCACTGGTGGGCAAATACACCAAATTTTCTGACTCCTATGCATCTGTCATCAAAGCCCTGGAGCACTCTGCCCTGGCCATCAACCACAAACTTGACATTAAGGTAGGGGTGGGTCTGTGTGTGGGGAAAGAACTCCACCCATGCTGCTTCCACCTACAATGCTGCCCATCCTAATTCACATTTTCACAAACCTGAATTATCCTCGCATCCAAAGGATAGTTTGATGCATAAAATTATACTTGCATCAAAACAGCTGTTTTGACTATAACAGCACTAAAACAGCTGTTATCAGGCCTAAACCAGCTTCAGAGCAAAGCAGCCTCTCCTCCTGTGAGCTGGAGTGGATGGAAATTGCTCAGTGCTGTGACAGTGGTTGATGGATTTGAGGGGGGCACTCTCTGCTCTCATTTCTCTGACACTTGTTGCAAGTGATTCTTTTTGTGGTTTTACCTTTTTTGTTGCTGTTAACCTTGTGGTACTCAGGTTTTATGATGCCCCTGCCTCAGGCTTTATTAAGGTTTTCATGCTGGTTTGGATGCACAGATCCTCAAGGGTCTTGGTCATAGCTGGATCCTCTGAAGAGGTGAAATATGAATTCTACCTGTTGCTAGAAATTCAATTTTCATTTCAACAGACTTTTAAATGCCCAGCAGTTCCATGATGTCAGTGAGTCATGGAAATAGGTGATTGCTTTTGAACAGAAGTGATCTAGGTCAGGGTTTCCTTTCAACTTCCAAAATCAGTAGAGGTGAAAATAAGCAAAACAAGACTGGTAAAGTGCAAACCCTGCATGTGCATCTGTGGGTATTCCCTGGCAAGGCTGTGTCTGAGTGGCTCAGGAGTGAAGTGAACTCTGTGCAGGGAGATCTTGTGCTGAAGAACTGAGTAGCTGGAGTTAGTTAAAGAACTGATTGGTAGTTTTGCAACTTCCAAAAACCAAACAAAAAAAGAAGGACAAGATTGTTCCTTTAAAGGGTTAGCAGCCTGCCAGAACATCCAGAAGTTCAGAGGTCCTGGAATGCTGTGGATGAGAAAATGGAAAAATTGCAGGGTTTTTTTCCATTGTCATAACACCCTTTAATTACAGCAGCCTGTGTTTCACCATAGCCTATTTCTTCTGCAATGCCTCTTGAAGGAGATGTTTATTTGATGAAAAAAGAATGTTTTTTTTCCTCTCTGTGTGGTGGTTTGTGTTTGCAGAGCCCCATGTTCCCACCTTGCTGTGCTGCATTCACACCTCACATTGAGCATCACAGCCTGGGGCTCAGGGTCTTGGTGTAGGCAGGGCTGCAGAGAGGGGAGGACACAGAAATCATGGGTTCTGTCTGTGCACAAAGAGCAGGGGGATGAGGAAAGGAGTTTTGTTGGCTAACAGATGGGAAATCAGCCCAGAAAAAACTGAAGTATCCATTAGGAAACAAATCCAGAAGTGCCCAGGAGGAATTATGCTGTCTTAATTTAATGAGAATTCAGGGAGTCCTGTACACTCTGGTGGCAAGATCTCATCATCTTTTTTTTTGGATTTCTTCCCAGTACATTGACTCTGCTGACTTGGAGCCAGACACTCTGCAGGAGGAGCCTGTCAGGTACCACGAGGCGTGGCAGAAGCTCTGTGGTGCTGAGTAAGTTCTGCTGTGACCCTTTTTGGAGAATGCCTGATAAACCCGTTTTCAGCACACTCTGACAAGGCCCCAGACACCTCTCAGGGGCATTTAGGTGGAGGTGTTAAATGGAGAAGTGTTAAATAAGTGAGGGAGGTGGGGGAAATGATCATGGGCATGAGGATATGCACACCTGCATGATCAGGTGGAAACAGAGGAAATCAGGAGGAAGGAAAGGAAATCAGGAGGAAGGAAAGGTACTGGTGCAGCCAGACTGAGAATGGAAGGTGTGAATGGAGTACCAAGTTCTTCAGAAATAGTATGAGAGGGGGAAAAGCATTGGTATGCAGAGGAGTGCCAAGAATTAGCACAAAACCAAGAACAAGTGGGGCCTGTTCCCCCTCAGGGCAGCAGGATTGGAGTGAGAAGAAAGAACTTCCTGCAGAGTTTGGTGTTAGGATAACCTGACACTGTAGCCAGGGGTTTCCTCAGCATGGGCCTGGCTGGGTGATGAGTTTGCAAACATGTTTGGGGCAGGGTGTGGGAGTCCCACAGCATGAACCATTCCAGCATGGTAACCTGTGAGATACTTGGGATCTCTCTTTTTGGGAAGGTAAAATTGGCATTTATGAAATATTTCCCCCTCTTTATGTGACAGCTCATGTGAAAACTGCTGCAGCCAGGCCTTGCCACGTGGCTATTTCAGAGCCCTTTGCAGAGGAGAGATCTTGCAAGGCCAAGATTTTATGGCAGGGAGGTGATTTGTGGGTGTGTGGTTTGGGGCAGCCATGCTGAATGGAATCTTTTCATCCCCATGCAGTGGAGTTCTGGTTCCTGGTGGATTTGGTGTTCGAGGGACAGAAGGCAAAATTCAAGCTATTTCCTGGGCAAGGAAACAGAAAAAACCCTTTTTAGGTGAGAAGCATGTTTCATCCATAAGAAGAAATAAAGCAAAGGAAAGGAAGTTGAAGGTGTCTGTGCTGGTCTGCAGCAGGAGCTGCCCTGGGTTTCACTGGTGTGTGGGATGAGCAGTTTTGCAGGCAGTGATTTGTGCTCAGCTGGGCAGGGAGTGCAACCTCAGCCCTGCTTAGCTCTGAAGTGGTCAGAGCTGGCTGGGCTGGCTGACAGGGAGTCTGTAATGAGGGGATTGCAGTCTGGGGATGTTTCACATCAGCCTGTGGTGATCTTGGCACCAGGAAATCCAAGGCTGCATTTCAGTGAAGTGTCTGTGGTGAGAGACTCAGCTGGAGTACGAGCAGAGGGGATGGGAAAGGGAGGGAAGTGAAGCTTGTCAGGACTACAGAGCCCTAAATCCCAGTCCAAGATCTGCCTCATGCAGGGTTTCCTCTGACTCAGGATACTCTGGGAGGGTGTGTGTGCTTTGCAGCATGGGCTCAGAGGTCCCTGTCCTGAGCTGATCATGTCCTGCCTGTCCTTCCCCAGGAGTCTGTCTGGGAATGCAGCTGGCAGTGGTGGAGTTTGCTCGCAGTGTCCTTGGTTGGAGAGGTAATGGCACAAAACCCTTCCTGCCTTTGGTAATTTCTTGGGTTGCTTAAGTAATGTGATCTATATAGAGTAATATCTAAAAAATTGTAATTTTTTTTTTTTAGATAGTTGTGATTTTAAGTTTTTTTCATAGGTCAGTTTAATTTTTTACCTAGACCTGTAAAAATCCCTGTCTCTTTTGCTAATTTAAAGTAAAAAGAGCAATTTCCTTACCCTATTTAAATAAAAATCAATAGAGTAAGAGAAGCTTATAATGACAGAAAGCTTCCTATTGCTCAACATGAGATTCTTAGCTCCTGAATGAAACACCATGGCAGATTCCCACTGCAGCCAGTGGCAATGAAGCTCAAAAAGCAACTCAGCCAGCCAGCAGCTGCAGCTCCTTCAGTGAGTGGAGTTACCTCCTGAGCCCTCTGCTTGCATTGAGCAGGTTCCTGTTGATACAACTCCCTTCAGAGAGTGCTAAATTGAATTCTCAGCCTGACTCTTTGATTCTCTCCAGTAATGAGGGGGAGGAAAAGGAGTTCCTCAAACCATTGTGCTCCTTTCCCCCTCCCTGCCTTTATTTCTGTGTTTGAAGCTGTGTTTTTCCTGAATGAGGATGGGTTATCCTCTGCCTGCAGCCTTTGAAATTGGTACTGAACAGTGCTGACAGCCCTGTTCCTGCTGCCTGGGGTGTTCTGTGCCTGAGGGGGGGCTCAGCACAGCTGGGGATGAGGAGAAGCTGTCCCTGGGGCAGCTCCTGGAGGTGATGCCATGCTTTGAGCCACTCTGTGCTCCTGACTGCTGAATCTTACATTGCAGATGCCAACTCAACAGAGTTTGACCCCAAAACTTCTCATCCAGTGGTGAGTTTATGGTGATTTACTTGTGATAGCCTTACCTGACTTTCCTGCCCATCCCTGGGCATGATTGCCAGAGCAGCTGTGGCTGCCCCTGGAGCCCTGGCAGTGCCCAAGGCCAGGCTGGGCATTGGGGCTGGCAGCACCTGGCACAGTGGGAGGTGGCCCTGGGCTGCAATGAGCTGGCATTGAAGATCCCTTCCCACCCAAACCACTCTGGCATTCCCATTCCTCAATCCAGGATGGAAACCAGCCCCAAAAACCATTGCAGCAAATGGAGAAAGGCAAGGAAAGAATGATTTCCTGCATGGTTCCAGGTGCCCCCAGTGCCATTTGCCACAGGGGTTTGTAGCCTGGCAAGGCCTGGTTCGAGAGGTTTGGGCTCTGCCAGGGTGCCCAGAGCAGCTGTGGCTGCCCCTGGAGCCCTGGCAGTGCCCAAGGCCAGGCTGGACATTGGGGCTGGCAGCACCTGGCACAGTGGGAGGTGGCCCTGCCATGGCAGGGGTGGCACTGGGTGGGATTTAAGGTCCCTTCCAATTTGAAGTGTTGTATGATAGCTGCAGACAGACCTGAATTCCTGGGTACCATTGTGGAAGGCTCTGTGTTTCTGGTCCAGAGTCCACCACAATGATTGGCTTCTGCTGTAATTTAAAATGCTACTCAAAGTGAGGAAGTTATCAAAAAACAGCTTTTGATAATTTATCAAAGAGTGAGCAAGTCTGATTTAATTTTTTTTCCCATAAATTTGCTTGTTTGTTTGACATGCAGTTCAGTCAACATCACAGTATTGGTGTGTGCAATCTGTGTAAACTCTGACTGAGGCCATTTCCTCTGTGAAAGTTCCCTGAATATCCACAAAGCTCCCATAGGTACTGAACAACTCAGCCAGCTAACCTAGTTCTATTGGTCTGCCTTGGCAGGACAGTGTTCCTTGGGCTGGTTTCCTTGGTTTTTTGCATGAATGTTGATGGGGATTTTTTTCCTTTTATGTGTCAGAGTTTGCCTGTTCTTGTTACTCCTCCCTGATTCCCACCTCCCTCTGAATTCTTTCCACAGGTCATAGACATGCCAGAACATAATCCTGGGCAGATGGGTGGGACAATGAGGCTTGGCAAGAGGAGGACACTCTTCCAAACCAAGAATTCAATCATGAGTAAGGCCTTTCTTGTCTCTTCTGGAAATGTTTCCTGGGGAAAGTGAGGCCTGGGGATGTTGAAGCATCCCTGAATGGCAGCTGTTCACAGACTGTTCTGGTGGGGAATGGGGATCAGGGAATTTAATTCCCTCCAGAAGTGGCAGATTCTGAGGGATGCTGATCAAGTGAATGTGTTAAAAGCTGTGATCACTGCTCTAAGGAACATTTCAATTCTGCTGCAGGGAAGCTCTATGGAGATCATGATTTCTTGGAAGAGAGACACAGACACAGATTTGAGGTAAAAATGCTCATGCAGGTATTGAGCTTTCCTGTGTAATCCAGACACAAGAGATCATGGCTTGCCTTGCTTCTGGTTTTCTAGGTCAATCCAGAACTGAAGAAGTGTTTTGAAGAGCAAGGTCTGAAGTTTGTGGGGCAGGATGAGGAGGGGGAGCGGATGGAAGTGGTTGAGCTGGAAGGTGAGTCCTTAAGTTTGTGGGTGTGGGATGGACAAGGGAAAGTGTTTGGAGGGTAATGGAGCAGCTTTTCATGTGGGACCCATTCAGACTGTCTTGATTCCATCCATAAAATGATAGTAAAAATAAAATCCCATGTCCATCTCCATTTATGGACAAAAATGGAAATGATACTTCCCCATCATCAGGGCTTCAGCATAATGAGGATTTCACTGCAGCTCAGCCACCAGCTTGAGAGACTTGCCATGAATGTTTTGTTTGTTTTCAGACCATCCTTTCTTCGTTGGTGTTCAGTATCACCCCGAGTTCCTCTCCAGGCCCATCAAGCCATCACCCCCATACTTTGGGCTCCTCCTGGCATCTGCAGGGAGACTCACCCACTACCTGCAGAAGGGCTGCAGGCTCTCCCCCAGGTGGGTTTCAGTCAGAGCTGTCACAGGACGCTGCTGCTTCCTGCAGGATAGCCCAGAGCATCCTCTTGGCACAGAGCTCCTGGGGATAACTTGGTATTGCACCCCTCTTCTTTCCACTCTTCTTTTGAAAGCTCACATCTGTATGTTGAGGCTGATTGTGGGGCCACAGAGCTGTCCTGCAGAGAGGATCTGCAGCCTTGTGCTGTCAGTCAGGCTTTGGGGAAGCTGAGGCTGGGCCTGCTCTTTTACATGGTTGAGACCTCATGGGCTTTCCCCTCCATTCCTCAGACAAATCCCATGTACAGGCTGGTCCATGAGAAACTTGTTCCTGTTGCTGGTTTAAAGAACAGGCCTGGTGGTTGCAGCCTCTTAATTTTGTTTTTTTCTGCTGACTTCAGCTTGCAAAGCAAGTGGTGTTTTGGGTGGATTTAATGGTGCAGTTACTTGGTGCTGCTGTTCCCCAGTGCCTGCAATTCCCTTTGGCTCTTGGGACTGTGCAGCAAATAACAACCATTTGGTACTGACCTGTTCTCCCCCTCACACTGAGGGGTTGCTGACAGGCACTAAACAGAAACCAGACCAAATGCAGAGGAGAATTAGCAGTGTCTGTATCAAACCCAGGCAAATGCAATGCCAAAAATAAAGTGTTGGCTTTGTGGGCTGAGCTGCAGAGCAGCTGCACCCCAGGATTCCTGTGTTGGTTCAACATCACAGTGCTCAGGTGTGGTCCAGAGGAGTTTTGTGTGTGAGGCACTCATTTCAGTGCCTCCAAGGGTGGAGAGATATTTTAACTCTCTGCTTTTGCACATTTGACTTTGAAATGGCTCCTTGCAGCAGAGGAGCTGAAGTTTTCTCTGTGTTGCAGCATCCCACATTAATTAATGAATTAATCTGTCCTTAAAGCACTTGTGCTCCCTAACCCCAAATCCTTTACTCCTGCAGGGACACCTACAGTGACAGGAGTGGCAGCAGCTCTCCTGACCTGGAGATAACAGAGCTGAAGTTCCCTTCAGCAAACCACGACTGATTCCTGGTAATGTTTCATGATCTCTGCCTCTTCCTTTGGGGAAAAAAAATTTCTTGGCCAAATCTTTGCTTCTGGCCACTGATTCCCCACATTGTTTGGTAGAAAGCTGGGGCACCATGAGATGGGCTGGGGCTCACACATCTGTTCCAGCTGTGCTGAGGGCTGGGTGCTGCCTCTGTCTGTGTAACAGCTGGGGATGGGTGTCCCCTTAGCAAAGTGACACAATAAAATACAAATACACACTGAGGAATTTGGGGTTAGATTTGGATGAAAGCACCAGTGGAGCACACACTGCTGGGAATGGGGGCAGAGCTGCACAAGGGGTTCCTGGGTTTAGGAAATTCAGTATTTTGCAGTCCCTCACCATAGTCAAAGAACATCTTGGATGTATCCATTGTGTCCATCTCCTGGGACAGCAGATCCTGTCAGACCTAGGGCTCAAGCTCTGCTCTGTAAAGGCTGCAGGTGTTACAGGGATGTGAAAACTGGATGTAAACAGTCCTGGGAAGGAGAAGATACTAAAACCTGGCACTCAGACTGTACCAGCAAAACAGAGTTTACATTTGCATCCTCCCTCTGTTCAGTGGGTGATCATGGGTGTGACACCTGCCCCTGCTCTGGCTGGTTGGTGAGGGGGTTTTGCAGGAGCTGAGCAGCATCTGCACACCCCTGTGGGTGTGTGGGCTCCACTGCTGAGTGGAGGGCATGGAGAGCTCCAGCCCTTCCCTCCTCCCCTCCAGAGTGCCTGCAGGGGACAGCAGGGTCAGCCCCAGTCTGGCCCAGGAGTGCTCCCCATCCCTGGGCACAGCACTGGGACCAGAGGGGACTGCTGGGTGTTGGGCTGCTCCACAGCACCAAGAGCTGGAGAGTTCTCCCTGTAAATGTTGATCCTACAGACACTCTGAGCCTTGGTCTCACTGACAGTGTCCCCTGTGTTCCCTAATGTGGCGGCTCTGGTGGCTTGGGGGCTGTCCCCACATGGGGAGAGTGGCAGTCCCTGGGATTGGTGTCACCCAGCTCTCTTAGGGCTGCATGCAGCACAGTGCAAATGCTGCTTTGGTGCTGCCTGTGGGCAGGGCTCAGTGCTGGCTGAGCTGTGCTCACTCCCTGTGCTCTGTGTGCAAGGAGCCATGGCCAGGGGGGCAGTCCAGTGCCTTTGGGGGTGCCCCAGTGGAGCTGGGACATCCCTGAGCTGGGCACAGGGCTCTGGCCAGGGCCCCTGTGTCAGACCTGTCAGTGATTCCTGCTCCTTTTCTCTCTCCAGGTGTGTCCTTGCTGCAGAGAGGAGTCTCCATTGGGTTTTCCAGGTGTTCTTACAGCAGCAGCTTCAACACCCTCAGCTTTGGGCTTTCCTAACTTACGGGTTTATAATTTTTGTTCTGAGATCCTGTCACTTATTTCCTCGGCTCTTCTGTCCTTCCTTTATTCTCTCTATAGATCTTGGTTATTTGTGGAGGAGAGTTCACAGAGGCCCCTCCAGACTCCCTTCAGTTGCACCAGCTTGGAGGCCAAGGCGAGCTGGGTGTGGGATTTGCTGTGCTGAGGGGAATCCCATGGCACAAACCCTTCCCAGTGCAGGCAGTGCTTGGCACCAGGGTGCCTTGGACACTGACAGTGCAGCTGCTCTCTCCAGTCCTTCTGCTCCCTCCTCAGTCTTTACTTACTGGTGAAATTATGGATGGCACAAGATTTTGGGAGCTGGCTTAGTGTCTGAGCTGGGCTGTGCTGCACAGAGGGCTCTGGGCAGCTTCATGCAGCCTTTTTGGTTTGTTTGGCTTTTTTTTCAGGGGATTATTTTTGTTTTGTTTTTTTTTTTCTTTTTTTTTCAGTAGCATTTGCAAACCTTTGGCACTGGTGCTCTTGGTGCATTCATTGTCACAATGAATTTGTAACCAGGAAGATCTTCCTGGAATAGTGTTAGTTACTCTGGAATATGCTCAGCTCTGGCTGAGGTGTCACTGCAGGGATGTGATCAACTGGCATCAGGCTGGGGGGCCAGGAGAACAAAGCTGCAGGGAAACCCTGACCTGAGGGGTCCCTGTGAGCCCTCCCTGTGCTCCTGGGGCTGGGAAACTTCGACCCCTTGCATCAAGGGGGAGGTGAGCACAGAGTGAACCCCTGAACCACTTCACTGCTGCCTTGAACTGTGTCCCTGGCCTGGGACACAGCAGCTCCTGGTGCTTTTTCATGGATTTGAAGTGGAGCCTTTTTGTTGCCTTTTTGTCCTCGCTGGAGTCCTGGGCTCCTGCAGTGGGTGCCCTTCTTCTCCAAGGGCTGTTCCTGAGGGAGGAGCTCACCAGCCCTGCCTTGGTGCTGCTGTCCAGCTCTGTGGGGCTGAGCTGCCTCGGTTCCCTGCCCTGTGTGGCCCTTGATTGAGGAGAAAGGAACAAAGAAAAAGGAAGGAAAGGGTTTCCCTTGTCTGATGTTGCACACTCAGACTTCAGCAGCTCCGTGGAGTTTGGGAGAGCTGCACGGTCAGACCTGGCTGAGCCACAAAACCAAACCCTGTCCTGTCCCTCCCCAGTGATCTCCTCCCAGCCCCCCTTGCTTTAGTCCTCATTTGTTTTAAATATTCCCTGTAAAGCTGCTGTGAGCCTGGAGAGCTTGGAGCATTCCTCATGTGCCAGTTCCAGCTGTGGGGCAGGAATTCTCGAGTTGCAGTTGCTCTGCTGCTGCCCACTCCTGCCCTGGCCTGGCCATCCTGGGGCAGGCTGAGATCCTCCCTCAGCTGCAGCACAACTGTGGGTTTTTTTTTCTCCTGAAATGTTTGTTTTGGCCAAAACTCTGCAACTGACTGGGTCATTAAATGCTCATTTGTAACAAACTGAGTCAGGATCCCTGAGCCTGCTCTGTTCTGCCTGCTCGGAGGGAGGGAAGGAAAGGCCTGAAGCACAAAACTTGCCAATCTTGAATGAATCCCCTCTAAGCTAGCAAAAACTTGTGGGTTTAGATGTGGAGCTGCAAAGTCTGAAGTTACTGAGCTTCCTTCCAGTCCTGGAGAAACCTGGGGAGCCTGGGCTGAGCCTGCAGGCTCTGCAGGGCAGGAAAAGGTTTCCAGTGGCTCTGAGCTGCCCCACGAGGGTTTGTCCCACCCTGTCCTCCACAGCCAGGAGCGTTTCTTGCCTGGTGCAGGACAGGCAGGGCCGTGCACAGGCCAGAGCTGTGTCCATGGGGTGACGTGGGGCTGTCACTGCCACTGCTCTGCTGTCCCCAGAGCAGCCTCAGCCCTGGCTCTGGCTTTGGGAACAAGGCTGGGACAGGTCCTGGGAGCACCCTCAGGCAAGGGCAGCCCGTGGTTCAGGGAGGCCAGGCTGTGCTTCCCTGGCCTCCCCATCACCTCCAGCTCCACCCTGGCCCTGCTCTCCCTCCTTGCCTGGGGCTCAGTCCCAGGGCTCAGTCCCGGGGCTCAGTCCCGGGGCTCAGTCCCAGGGCTCAGTCCCACGCTGCCATCAGTGCACAAACCACGGGGAGGAACTTGGTATCCTTTTATTTATAAACAAATCAACGTAAAAGAAGTGCAGAGGAAAGCACAGGCTGGCCCTGGGGCCAGGTCACAGCGAGGGCCCCGTGAGCAGCACAGGCTGCTACAGGACAAAAGCCATTTTGCCTTTTTATTACTTTGGGGTTTGGGGTATTTTTTTTTTTTTTTTTTTTTGCAACTTTGCCCCTTAGGGGTAAACCTGACTCAGTGCAAGAGCCTGGAGGGTTGGTCACCACAGGGGCCCATCCTGCTGCTGGCCAGGCCCTCGAGGCTGCAGGGGAGGCTGTGAGCTGTGGCTCCGATGCAGAGGCTGAGCTGGGACAGCAGAGGGAAGTGCTTGGAGTGGAGATTCTGTCCCAGCCCTTTGGTCACTGCAGGGGGAGCGTGCTGAGGTGTGTGTGGGCACACACAGGGCTGTGCTGGCACCATCAGCCCTGTCCCAGCTCAGGCCACGCTGGTGCCTGTGATGCTGCAGGGTCTGGGCAGCCCCGGGTGGCAGCTGCTGTCCAGGGGACACTGCGGTGGCACAGCTGGTGGCTCCACTCTGACACTCCTCGTGCAGCTGCAGAAACCTGTCTGGGACCATGGGAAGCACTCAAGTGCCATCAAAAATAAATACATTAAACTGCCTGAGACCAGTAGGTGCCTCGGGAAGGGCAAAGCCCTCACAGCCCTTACAAAGCCCTCACAGGAAGAGCAATGCCAGGACAGGTCACCATCCTGGGATGCTCTGGCCAGACCCAAAACCCTCACACACGCTGAGCTGGGACAGACCAAAACTAGAGGAGCAGGAGTGCCCCTGGGAAGACAAACCTTAGCAGCTCTGGCTAAAAAACCACCAAGAGCTGTGAGTTCAACACAGGTAGAAAAATCATCTCATCATTTGAAACAGACAACTCCTTAGTAAAAAAAAAAAAAAAATCCAAATTAAAACAAAAATTAAAAAAAGGCGAGAAGGATCAGCTGAGTCCTGCAGCATCCAGGCAGCCTCCAACACCAGCCCAGGCCCATCCGTGCCAGGGGCATGCCAGGCCCAGCCCTGCTCAGCTCTCCCAGCTCTCTCCATGCTCCCACATGGCATCTCCAGTCTGGAATAAATATGAAAGCCTCCACCCCCAGCCCAGTGTGCCCAGCTGGAGCCAGGTCAGGAGCTGGGGGCAGGCAGAGATGGGTGGATGGGCTCCCCCAGTTTGGAGACAGGGCTGGCTGGCCAAGGCTCTGAGCTCGCTGCGGTGCCACGGGGCTGAGGGCAGGCTGGGGGCACTGAGCCCCTTGAGGCTGGGCAGGCTCAGTGCCCAGGGCTGCCCCCCAGGCCCAGGGAGGAGCTGAGGCAAACACCAGGGGCCCTGCTGGAGCTGCTCCATCCAGGGAAGCAGGACTGAGCTCATGGAGAGGCGCTGGCTGGGCAGCAGGGGAGACACCTCGGCTTCCAACGCCCACAGCTCGAGTCTGGTGCAGGGCCCGGCTGTGCCAATGCCCCCAGCCCGAGTCTGGTGAGAGCCCGGCTGTGCCAATGCCCCCAGCCCGAGTCTGGTGAGAGCCAGGCTGTGCCAATGCCCCCAGCCCGAGTCTGGTGAGAGCCTGGCTGTGCCAATGCCCCCAGCCCGAGCCTGGTGAGAGCCTGGCTGTGCCAATGCCCACAGCCCGAGCCTGGTGAGAGCCCGGCTGTGCCAATGCCCCCAGCCCGAGTCTGGTGAGAGCCTGGCTGTGCCAATGCCCCCAGCCCGAGCCTGGTGAGAGCCTGGCTGTGCCAATGCCCACAGCCCGAGTCTGGTGCAGGGCCTGGCTGTGCCAATGCCCACAGCCCGAGTCTGGTGAGAGCCTGGCTGTGCCAATGCCCCCAGCCCGAGTCTGGTGCAGGGCCCGGCTGTGCCAATGCCCACAGCTCGATCTGGTGAGAGCCTGGCTGTGCCAATGCCCACAGCTCGAGTCTGGTGAGAGCCAGGCTGTGCCAATGCCCACAGCTCGAGCCTGGTGCAGGGCCCGGCTGTGCCGGGCTCCTCCTGAGCTCTGTCGGGGGCGGGCGGGGCCCCGAGGGCCCGGCCGGTGTCGGGAGTGTCCGTCTGTCCGTCTGTCTGTCTGTCTGCTGCGGCGGAAGGGGTGTGTGCATGCGAACCTGTGGCAGGTGAGCGCGGGTGGGGCGGCCGGGAGCGCGGGTGGGATCCATCCTGCCAGGAGTCCTCTCAGAACTTGCCTTGCTTTAGCTTGTCAATGTGGTAGGTGAGCTTCAGGGCTGGCCCCAGCTTCAGCCCCATGTATTTCATCATCATGTCACTGCGCAGCAGCAGCAGGGCTTTCCCGTCGATCTCCTGCAAGGATCAACCACAGAGCTCGAGATGGCACCTGGGAGCCCCAGCCCTGCCTGAGCCAGGCCCAAAATGCAACAGCAGGGCTGGCTGAGAGAGCCCTGCTCAGCAGCATCCCAGCAGGGACATCCCAGCATGGACACCACAGCATGGACATCCCAGTGAGGACATCCCAGTGAGGACATCCCAACATGGACACCCCAATATGGACACCCCAGCATGGAGACTCTAGTATGGAGATCCCAGTATGGACATCCCAGCATGGAGACCCCAGCATGGAGACCCCACTATGGAGACCCCCAGTATGGACATCCCAGCATGGACAGCACAGATAGCCCCACATCCACTCTGAAAAGTCTGCATTGTGGGCTCTGTGGGATCAGTTATTGGGTTAAAAGGGAAAATAATCCAGGTGTCAGTTCTTAATTAGATAGTTTAGTCTTAAAAGACCTTGGAACAAGAGATTGTTGGCCATTTTGTGCCTTCTAATGAAAAGCTGCTGAACTCACAGCAGTGAGACTGTCTGACTGATCAGAAATAATAAACACCTGAGTCCCAACATGAACTACTGTCTCAAGTGCCTTCAATCCAGACCCAGCGAAACCCACAACTGGTAATCCCCACACATCTGGCCTGAAGTGCTGCTGTGTTCTGAGTCTTGTGGATTTTGTTGGTGTGATTTGCCCCTTCCAGATGTAGTACACCCCCAAATACACACCCAGAGCTCTGCACATGAACCCCAAACACACCCAGAGCTCTGCACATGAACCCCAAACACACGGAGAGCTCTGTAAATGAACCCCAAGCACACCCAGAGCTCTGTAAATGAACCCCAAGCACACAGAGAGCTCTGTAAATGAACCCAAGCACACAGAGAGCTCTGTAAATGAACCCCAAACACACACACAGTTCTGTAAATGAACCCCAAACACACACCCAGAGCTCTGTACATGAATCCCAAACACACAGAGAGCTCTGTAAATGAACCCCAAACACACAGAGAGCTCTGTATATGAACCCCCACACAAACAGCTCTGTAAACGAACCCCAAGCACACCCAGAGCTCTGTACGTAAACCCCAAACACACAGAGAGCTCTGTAAATGAACCCCAAACACACCCGCATATCTCTGCACATGAACCCCAAACACACACCCAGAGCTCTGTAAATGAACCCCAAGCACACCCAGAGCTCTGTAAATGAACCCAAGCACACCCAGAGCTCTGCACATGAACCCAAGCACACCCAGCTCTGCACATGAACCCCAAACACACAGAGAGCTCTGCACATGAACCCAAGCACACCCAGAGCTCTGTACATGAACCCAAGCACACCCAGCTCTGCACATGAACCCCAAACACACAGAGAGCTCTGTTCATAAACCCCAAGCACACCCAGAGCTCTGTACATGAACCCAAGCACATCCAGAGCTCTGTAAATGAACCCCAAGCACACCCAGCTCTGCACATGAACCCCAAGCACACCCAGAGCTCTGCACATGAACCCCAAGCACACCCAGAGCTCTGTAAATGAACCCCAAACACACAGAGCTCTGTACATGAACCCCAAGCACACCGAGGGTTCTGTAAATGAACCCAAGCACACCCAGAGCTCTGTACATGAACCCAAGCACACCCAGAGCTCTGTAAATGAACCCCAAACACCCCCAGAGCTCTGCACATGAACCCAAGCTCTGCACACTCACGTGCTTCCGGAAGAGGTCGGCGTGGGGGCCCAGCTGCGGGTCTGCCTCGCGGATGAACTGCATCACCTCCTCCACCGTCCAGGCCGAGGGGTCGCGGCTGCTGAGGCGGGAGCTGTCCCGGGAGCCCGGGTACCTGTCCGAGCCTGGGGAAGCCACAGCTCCGTTACTGGGGCTCCCTGGCACCGCCCCAGCCACTGGCCCTCAGCCCACCACCACTCAGCTCCTCTCCACAGCAGGGCAGAGACACAGCAAGGGCCAGGCCCAGATTCCTGTGGCACAGCTCTGGCACCCAAACCTTACTCCCCCTCTTTAGGTCTGACTTTTCAGGGCAGCCTTCTATACTGAGCTCTTGTCCCCTCTCTCAAGCCCCACTCCCCTTGTTTGGTCCCGGCTCCCACTCCTCCCTGTCCATGGGCAGACACTTCCCACCTCAGCAGAACATCCCCTGCCATTCCCAGGTGTCTCCACAAGCACAGCTCCTCCTCCCCTCCCAACACCTTTAGCACATCTAACACAGCCTAGCTGGTTTATGCTTCCACTGGCTGCATCTTCTGATGGACTGAACCCACAGGTGACCTCCCAGCCTGAGCTGGCACAAGTCCTGCTCCCAGCGTGCCCAGCCCCTTGTCTCAACTCTGCCTGAAAATGTGTGGGGGAGGCAGCAGCAGCCTGAGCTTTTCAGAGGCTTTTACTGATGCCATGCACCTAAAATGACATTATTTGTGACCCCACATGCTGCAATGAGCAGTTCAGCTCTCCTGCCCCCATTCCCCCATACAGAGTGGTGCTATTCATGCATCTGCCCATCCTCCCTGCCTCACCAGGCAACTTTTGACTCCCCAGCCATTCCCAATCCATCCTTGTGGACTCAGACACCCATTTATCACTTGGACACAGTTCAGCTCCTGCCTGTTCCTTTCTCCCCACCGACCTCCAGGTCCACCCAGTCACCAGGCAAAGCAGAAACGTCACCTGTCCACATCACCTGTCCACACTGCCAGGTGCCATCACACCTAACAGACCCAGCTGGCTGTGCAGAGCCCAGCCTCTGGCACTTGCTGCACTCAGAGAGCTGTGACTGGAGTTAGCCCAGCCCTTCCCTGCCCCAGGTACAGCTCAGGGCTGTTCTGAGCTCTTACCCCCAGAGCTCAGCCTGCGCAGGGCAGAGCTGCTGCCCTGGCTGAGGCTGCAGGGCTGCTGCAGGTGCCTGTATCCTGGCAGGCGAAAGTCTCTGGAGCTCCTGCTGTGGCTGGATGAATTGACAGAGTTCAAGGCAGAGTCCATGGGGTCCAGGCGAGGCTCTAAGGGCCCTGGGAGGCCATCTCCCAGGACAAAGGTTTCACCTGGAATGCACCAAGCTGCAGTTAGTGCACCCACCCGAATGCCATGGCCACGCTCCCATGTGGGGCACAGCCACAGCAGCATGGCTGGGTCCAAGCCCTGGCTGGGCTCAGGGATCAAACCAGGCCCTGCCACAGCCCTGGCATTCACCAGCTGCCAATGGTGTCACCATCTGCCAGTGCCAGTCCAACCAGTGTAGTGACAATGGTCCCAAACTGGAGCAGCAGCTCCTTTTTTCAGCTACTCTGCCCATGCCACCACCAGCACTGAGGCCTGACTGCCCTGGGCCCCTCTGTGGCCAAGGGGCACCTCTGGATGCCAACGGACACAGGACTCACAGACAGCCCTGAACAGAAGGGGAGGAGATGCTCCCTGAGGGGTCACACCCTGCACCTCACCAAGGGCTTGGCATTGGGTGGCAGACACATGCAGAGCAGGAGGGAGCTGTGCCATCAGGGCCAGGCAATGCTCCCACACCCTGCTGCTCCTCTGGCCCCAAAAGCAATGATGAGCTGCCCCAAAAGCTGGTGATGAGCTGCTCATCCCTCCTGGGCTCCTGCTGGGCTCTTTTCCAGCCTAACCACATCAGAGGCCAATTCCCTCTACTGGAACACGCACAGGAGGGCCTGGGCCTCTAAAACTTCCCCAGGCAGGGTGTCAGAGCAATGGTGGCTTCCTCATCTTCTCCAGAAATGCCCTGAATTTGCAGCTACCATGGTACTATTGGGATGGAGGGGCTGGGGAGGCTGTCCAGGCTGCACTGGCTGAGGCAGCAAGATCTGTCTGTGCTGCTCCACTGCAGGGCCACCTTTGCAGGCTTTACTGTGGCACAGCTGAGTCTCAGCCCAGGTGGTTCTTGTGCCTCATGAGCCACCCTCAAGTGCTCTTTATGATGAACCACCTGCCAAAGAGGGCAGGCAGCAGCTCCACAGTGAGGGGCGTTGCCTGAGCACTGCCAGCACACATGGCTGGGAGCTGCAGCTCCTCCACCACAACCTGAGGGGTCCTGAGGGCAGCTCACAGCCCTGAGCTGCTGCCACTCCAGCACCATGGCAGCTGACAAGGCTGAGGAAGCCTGAGCACTGGCCAGGCCCTGGGATTCTTCCCTGGCACTTCCCAGACTCCAGGAGCAGCAGGTGAAAGCCAGCACAGCACTGCTGTGCTGAGCTGGGGGTCATGGTGAGGGTGCAGGATCTGCAGCCTGAGAGACCCAGAAGCTGCTGAGATTTTCCCCAGTTCCCTGCTGAGGTGATGCTGATGCTCCAGTGAGCAGGTGCAGCTTGCCAGAGCCTGAAGTGGTTCCCAAGTGCTGCAGATATTGGGTCCCACTGACTGGGGCAGCATCTCCTGGCTGGCTACCCCTCATTTGCTCTGGTTTCTGTGAACTGTGGCACTGTTGTGACAGCTGGGATCTTCTGGTCCTGCTGCCTGTGTTTGAGCAGAGATCCAGAGGCCAGCTCAGCTGGTCCAGCCCTGACCTGCCCTGGCTTCACACTGTAAGGACATGAAATGGGAACACCCTTGTGTGGCTGCTGGCCAGCCCTGTGTGGGGCCATCACTGGGAAATTGCTGCTCTCACCCATCCCTGTGTGGGGCTATCACTGGGAAATTGCTGCTCCCACCCCAGCCCTGTGTGGGGCCATCACTGGGAAATTGCTGCTCCCACCCCAGCCCTGTGTGGGGCTATCACTGGGAAATTGCTGCTCCCACCCCAGGGCTGTGTGGGGCTATCACTGGGAAATTGCTGCTCTCACCCCAGCCCTGTGTGGGGCTATCACTGGGAAATTGCTGCTCCCACCCCAGCCCTGTGTGGGGCTATCACTGGGAAATTGCTGCTCCCACCCCAGGGCTGTGTGGGGCCATCACTGGGAAATTTCTGCTCCCACCCCAGCCCTGTGTGGGGCTATCACTGAGAAATTGCTGCTCCCAGCCCAGGGCTGTGTGGGGCTATCACTGGGAAATTGCTGCTCCCAGCCCAGGGCTGTGTGGGGCTATCACTGGGAAATTGCTGCTCCCACCCCAGGACTGTGTGGGGCCATCACTGGGAAATTGCTGCTCCCAGCCCAGGGCTTTGCCACTCTGCACTTGAGGCACTGCTGTCTTTGTTTGTTTTTAGGTCTCTGGGATGTGCCCAGAAACAGCAGCACAGCCTTAAAATCTCCTGTACAACCTCTGGTGTGGACTGTTACCCCAGTGACCTGTGCTGGCCCTCCTGTCACTCTCTTCCTCCATGGACAGGTGTGTTCTCACCTGCTCTGCATGCATAAAAAATGGTTTGCTGACTCATGGCTATTCCTGAATAACTCCAAACCCCTCCTGCACTCCCACCATTGCATTTCAGCCCCAGACTGGATGCAAAGCAGAGCTGGCTGCCCTGGTCTGGCCTGGGTGGAGATCCCTGCCCAGCCAGAGCCACTTGTGGGTGTCACTTACACCAGTGGGGTTCCACTGCAGCTGCTTCAAACTACATTTGGTCTCCTCCTTGTGAAAAATGCATGTATTTTATGATTGGCTTTTCACAAATATTCAAATGAATATTATATGTGTTGTGTTAGAAAGTGATGCCGTATTAATTCTCTTAAGTAGTGTGTTAAATATAGTTTTAGGTTATAAAAATGTTAAAACAGAAACGATGCTATGTAGGATACTTCTTTTTAAAGAAAGGACTAACAGCAAGGTAGCAGCCACAGGACACCTGAATCTTTCAGAGAAGAAGAATTTATTGCCCTCTTATCAGCAGAAACGAACTTCTTCCCACCTCGAAGGCGCTGTTAGGATACAGAGGAAGAAGCTGACACTGCCCAGACAGAATCCTGTGTTTGAATGGAATTTATGCATCATGTCTGAGGTGTATGAATATGCAACAGGCTGTTGCTTTTAAGGGTTAATCCTCTGTTAACGTGGGTCCTTTTTCGGGCTCGTGCTGCCCAGAAAAGGTACCTGGACTGTCTGTAACTCTTTGTCTCTATTGTCTCATATTGTCCTAATTCAAATTGTCCTAATTATATTATATTACTCTAATTGTATTACTATTTTTATAACCATTTTATTACTATTAAGCTTTTAAAATTTTAAAAACAAGTGATTGACGTTTTTCACAGTCCTCAACGGGACAGTTCTGTTTGAACCCTAAAACACTTCCCATGAAACATCTGGGGAAGGGTTCTGACTGCAGGGAAGGACAGGGCAGGAGAGGGTCAGTGGGCACAGCCCCCTGAGCTGTCACAGGATAGTGGCTGTGGGTCCAAGCTGTGCATCCCAGCACCTTCTGGGGTGACAGAGAGCTGCAGCTGGCCAGGAGGTCCTGGGACACTCACCCAGATGTGCTGGGTGACACAAACACGTGTCTGAGTGCTCCCAAAAACCCCAGAGCTCTCAGCAGGGATTGGTGGCAGCAGAAGGAGTTTCAGGCCCAGTCTGGGAGAGCACATGCACAGGTTCTGTCAGTGCAAGGCTGAGGATCCAGAACTTACCCTCAGAAATGACTTCACTCAACAATGAACAGTGTCATGACAGGAATGAGCTGTGATGCATTCTGCAAACACAAATATGTGATCCTGTCCTCACAGCTGCTGATCACACCCCAGGGCCACCTGGGGGCACGATGTGCTTCTGCCCAGGAGCTAAAACTGAAGGCACACAGTGATCCCCAGGTTCCCTAACCCTGCACAGGGCAGAGCCTGCCTGGGCTGGAACTCTGCAGCAGAACTGGGGGCTTTGTGGCAGGCTCAGTGCAAGAGGGAGTGAGGGTTTTCCTAAAAACACAAGTACACAGGGAACTGCTCAGTGAGTGATACCTGCAGGGAAGGGAGAAGGACATGAGGCAAGAGGGGAATGATTGCTGCCCCTGGGAATCATCTGTAGATGAGGTACTCAGGCAACACCCAGGATCCTTCACCTTTGATAAACAGAGTGTGAGGAGGAGGTGGCTGATCCTTAGGCAGAGTTCCTTACACACACTGTTAGATTTAACTAAAGGCTGGCAGTTGGCACATTGCAGGGAAACATGCCACAATTAGTGGTGGAGAGGCAGGGAGCAGATAATTAAAGTTTAATTAAACAAATAGTGCTATAGACTCAACAGTGTCACTTTACTGCTAAAACATGGGAGTTTGGCCACAAGCACAAATGTGATTTGCACTACTCCTGAACACCCACTGCTTCCAGCAAGTGATGGGCTGGGATCCCACTGTGCTGGGACTGCAGTGTTTCAGCAAAAAGCCACACAAACTCCACTGGATGCAAGAGGAAAAACAATGTAATATGTGAGATCCCTTCCTCAGTGTCTCTGCTTCTTGCCAAATGCAGAGTGAATGGAGATGTCCCACTGCTGCTCACAGCCTTCCACATGGCAAACAGGGATGTGCTCAGGAGCTGCTGTCTGAGACAGAGTTCATTCCCATGAGAAGATGTGCCTTGCTCAAGAAATACTCAATATCTGAGGATTTCAGGTGCATATTCTTAAAATATATCCTCTGAAATGCAAATATTCCTGTCTGAACCTCAATTTCACGGTGGAGGAGAATGTATTCATTACAGCTTTTAGCTGTGGGATAGGAATGAATTTCTAGATGGAATTTGAACCTCATTGCTCCCTGCTTGGATGAAGAACAGAAGCAGACCAAGCTGCTGCAGGAAGGATCACCCCTCACATGCAGACACACTTCCTGCCCACTTGTCTGTGTTCTTCTGGAAGAGGCTGGAGAATTCTGGCATCCAGATGGCACAACCCACTCAAAGGCCAAGGGATAACTGAATAGACTTTGAAGCAGACAAAGAATCAATCTTGTAGGAACCTAATGAAGGCTCCTCCTTAGAATTACCCATCATGGAAGCCTTCTCTCTTCACTGACAATACAGAGTGGGCAACATTCACCACCCAACCAAGGCATGTGAACCTTTGGAGCAATCCAGTTCTTCAAGACCAGGCTGAACACTGCATGTCCCAGCTGCTGGGGGAGGAGGAGGGGCTGGGCTGTGCCAACAGTTACCAAAGGCACTGGCTGATGCATCAGAGAGGAATCAAGGAGACCAGCACCCATTTGGAGGTGAGGAACAGAAGGGGGCTCTGGGGACAGTTTCTGACCTGTCAAGATGCTGGAATAGATGAGGCAGTGCCACACACCAGCTCTGTGACAAATGTACAGTTTTAATCACTGCAGGTAATGAGGCCACTAGAAACTGTCCACCAGAGAAGCATGGAATGGTTTGGGTTGGGAAGGACCTTAAAGCCCATCCAGTCCCACTCCCTGCCATGGCAGGGTCACCTCCCACTGTCCCAGGTTGCTCCAGGCCCCAATGTCCACCTGGCATTGGAAACTTCCAGAGATGGGGCAGCCCCAGCTGCTCTGGGCAAGTTCAGTGTTAGAGGCAGGGTCAGAGATCCTGCAGAGCACAGGACACAGTGATGGACACAGACAAAAATCACCCACAGTGGTGCCAGGCTGGCACTCACACCCAGCAAAACCAGGGAAATGGGGATTCTAAAGGGACAGCAACAGAGCATGAAGCCACTGAACTGTGAGCCTGCCCAGGAGTCTCCAGCAATTTTTCAGGGATTTCAGTCACAAAGAATTGTGACTAACATGTTGGCAGATTTCACCATCCATTAATTAAAAGCCCCAGTAAGATAAAATCTTCAGTCTGCATTGTAAAGGTTTGCAGTTCAGTACAAAGTGGGAGTGTATTTATTGAAGATTCCTCAGTTCAAGGAGTCCTCCAGCTACCTGGATCTTCTGGAAATCTCCCACCTATGCATGCAAGAGTCACCTATGGATCCCACAGCTAAAATAACTGAGTTCATGATAAAGGAACTGGGCAAACTTTGCCTCTTCCTGGGAAGATGAATTCTGCTGCTGACTTGCATCCCAGCTGTGAAGGGTTTTAAGTGTGCCTATGCTTAGTAAGGAATAAAGTGCTAATTCCTGCTTCTGCAGCAGTGGCATCCTGGGGAAGGAGCAGCAGTGTGGGATGGGAATGCAGTGGCTGAGCTGAGGGAGCCAGTGACACCCCCCAGCTGTTTCAGTGAGCAACAAGATGAGATCCTGGGAAAGGGCAGCAAGTTCCTGGGGTACAGCTGCACATCAGCATCTGCACAACAGGCTGCAGCAAACCCTCAGGGAAAAATCCACAAATCAGATCGAGGCAGCTGGGCAGTTTGAGCACTGTTAATGCCATGCACAGCGAGGGAAGCTAAACCAGATTATACAGTGTGAGATGATGCCTGTCAGGCTTAGGAGGAATTCTTGCTGCATTCCACATGCCTGACACATCTGTGGGGAACCTGGCTCACCACACAGCAGCTCATCTGTCAGGACCTAGGACATCCCTCTGGCTGTCCAGGACAGCCAGGACCCTGCCAGGGGGCTCAGAGACCCTGCACAGAGCCCAAAACACATCTGGGTTTGATTATGACCCATGGAGCAAATTACCAACCTTAGATGAAGATCTGCAAGTCACAACAGTTTAAGTAAAATGATAGTGAATTTATCACGGGGTGGAAAAGTAGATTTTGGGGTTTTTGGTATGGGGGTTCAGGGGGCAAGATGGAGGGACCTGGGCATGTCCAGCCTTTCTCCTTCTTCTTCTTGGCCTCCATCTTCTGCTGTGATGGTGGCACTTTGGGATTGGTTTAGAGTAGAAGCTCACTGTCTAACACAGGTGATAGGTATTGGGAAGTTATTGTAAACATTGTACAGGTAGTTTTTAGTATACAGACATAACCCTGCCCTGGGGACAGGCAGAGTGCCTGGAACTGTCCTGCTGGATGGACCTCAGCAGGGTGGGAGAAAATTTTTTACAGATAAGCAACAATAAACAACCTTGAGACTGAGAAATGAAGAGCCCTGACTCCCTTCTTCAAGCACTGGGCTGGGAAAAGAGACTTTTGAACTCTTCTTGGGGACACTGTGAGCAGCTAAAGACCCCGACATTCATCCACTCCCCTCTGGAACACCAAGCACAACCCACGCCAGGGACAAGCCAAGCAGCTCCCTGCAGCCACCCCTGGGCTTGGCAGGGCAGATGTGAGCCTGCAGCAGCCAGGACAGGGCTCTGGGAACAGGCAGCTTTGGGAAGAGACACGCTGTGCTCACCTTCCAAAGGGTGACGGTCATTCTTTGGTAACTTGGGGGAGAGAGGAGCACTGTATGGAGGGGGATCTTGGGAAAAGCGCTTTGTACCCCGGCCTGGTCCCTGCAGAGAGCCGTCTAAGGAACTGCTTCTGTCTAGGAAAAGAGAACAAGCCCTCTTTAGTCACACTTCTGACTGTGGTTAGTTTTTCTTTAAGTGCTGCAAACACTCTGAATCAGAGTTCAGGATGGGCAGGTCTCAGCATCCTATCAGATCTGGTGCTCTGCCTGAGTTTCCCTGAATTCTGATTTCTGCTTTTCCACTCTGCCCAGCAGAGCCCAACTCTTGGCACTGACCTCTCATGGAGGCTGGAAACCCTGTGTGAGAGCTGATCCATGGCCAGAGCTGGGTGCTTCCCCTCTCACTCAGGTTTTGCTCTCTCTCATGATGACAGGGTACTGAAACATGGGTGTAGCCATGATATTTTATGAAAAATCCTTTTGCTAAGATTTTTCTCCTGAGAAGCTGAGAGGCCTCAGAAACAAAATGTAACCAATGGTTATCTGCTGCTGTGGAATGCAACAGGTAGATCTGTGATTGGTCTCATGTGGTTGTTTCTAATTAATGGCCAATCACAATCAGCTGGCTTGGACTCTCAGAGTCACAAGCTTTTGTTATCATTCCTTGCTAGCTTTCTGATGAAATCCTTTCTTCTCTTCTTTTAGTATAGTTTTAATGTAATATATATCATAAAATAATAAATCAGCCTTCTGAAACATGGAGTCAGATCCTCCTCTCTTCCCTCACCCCTGTGAGCACCACCACAGATGGGGATTTTTTAGGAGTGGAGACATCCTGGGAAATGCAGTCTTGCCAGAGTCCCCTGAGCCCTGTGTGCATTGCCAGCCTGGGCACCCTCCACCTGCTCAAGCTGCAATCCAGCACATCTGGCAGGGCTCAACAGAGCAGAGTTTGCAGGTTTTACCAGAGAAAAAGGGTGGTGAGAAAACTAACAAAGAATCTTAGCCATGTTTTGCCATATTTCACCCAAACAGCACCTGTAATTGACTTAATTCCATTTCTCCTCATGGCTCATCCCACACAATTCCTGCTGATCCCACTGTCACCTTTCAGATGCACATGGCCCTTGGACAATTAGCAAACAAGCCTTGGATGATTTGCAACTCCTCTGTGTTGCTGGATTAAACCCTAATCCCATTTTCAATCTCCCCCCTCCATGGAGCCCCCAGGCACTATCACTGCTCCTCTCCAAACTCATCATCCCAAGGAGGGGACTCTGCACATCCTGCCCAGCAGACAGGACACTGCCATGGCACTGCCCCTGCACTGTCACTGCTCCTCTCCAAACCCATCATCCCAAGGAGGGGACTCTGCACATCCTGCCCAGCAGACAGGACACTGCCATGGCACTGCCCCTGCTCCTCTCCAAACTCATCATCCCAGGGATGGGACCCTGCACATCCTGCAGAGCAGACAGGACACTGCCATGGCACTGTCACTGCACTGCCCCTGCTCCTCTCCAAAGCCATCATCCCAAGGAGGGGACTCCTTGCACATCCTGCAGAGCAGACAGGACACTGCCATGGAGCCCCCTGCTCCTCTCCAAACTCATCATCCCAAGGAGGGGACCCTGCACATCCTGCCCAGCACACAGGACACTGTCACTGCACTGTCCCTGCTCCTCTCCAAAGCCATCCCAAGGAGGGGACCCTGCACATCCTGCAGAGCACACAGGACACTGCCATGACACTGTCACTGCACTGTCCCTGCTCCTCTCCAAAGCCATCCCAAGGAGGGGACCCTGCACATCCTGCAGAGCACACAGGACACTGCCATGGCACTGTCACTGCACTGTCACTGCTCCTCTCCAAACCCATCATCCCAAGGATGGGACCCTGCACATCCTGCCCAGCAGACAGGACACTGCCATGGCACTGTCACTGCACTGTCCCTGCTCCTCTCCAAAGCCATCCCAAGTAGGGGACCCTGCACATCCTGCAGAGCAGACAGGACACTGCCATGGAGCCCCCTGCTCCTCTCCAAAGCCATCCCAAGGATGGGACCCTGCACATCCTGCCCAGCAGACAGGACACTGCCATGGCACTGTCACTGCACTGTTCCTGCTCCTCTCCAAACTCATCATCCCAAGGAGGGGACCCTGCACATCCTGCCCAGCAGACAGGACACTGCCATGGGCTGGGACAGCTCTGCACACACGGGGCCAGTGGTGGATGGACAAGGAATGGAAGCACTGACACTGATGGGGACAGCAGCCAGGTGAGTGACACAGGGGTGGCAGAGCCTGTCCCAGCTCAGGTGACCCCTCCTGCTGCCCCACACAGGTGCCAGCTGGGCCCTCCAGCCACCCTGAGAGCTCTGGGGTGGGCACAGAGGGGTGAAATGCTCTGCACAGATGCCAGGAGCCACCAGCAGCCCAGAGCAGCCCTGAGAGCTGGCACAGGGCAGCAGCAGGGGCAGGAGGGGTGACAGGTACGGCGGGGAGTGACACCAGGGGGATGCACAATGCCCAACAAAGGGAGGTACAGGTGGGGCAAGCACCAGATGGGCACGGCTGAGGTGATTAAAGAGAAACACAAAGGTGGAGAAGGTACCTGTTCAATCAATATCCCTCAGGGAAATGGAAGAGCCGCTTGCACTGAGGCCCTGGGACTCCATATCACCCAAAATCACTGTGACATTGCCAGAAAAACAAATTTCCCCTCACTGCCCAGAGGGGAACACGTGCTCTTGGTAATGTCTCTGGACAGCCCTGTGTCAAACTGCACAACCTTCTTCACCCAACAGCCACAGAACCACAACACAAGGTGATGCTTTACAAAGGTTTTTTCATCAGGTTTTGGCTTGGCCTTTTGTTTTTTTTTAAAGTGGTTGATGTTAAAAGTAATGCAAACACAACAGGTCAGGTTATAGAAGTTAATTCTAGGAATCAGAAGTGATGTTGGTGTAAATTAATGAGAGGATAAACCAAAACCAGAATTTTGATTTTAAAGGACAAGTTTGAAGAAAATAAAGACATGGAGTAACAGACAGAGCTGTACTCAGATTATCATGAATAAAAGGAAAATGTCTTCAGTCCAAAAATGACATAAACCTCATGAATGTGATCACAAAAAGGAAATAATCTGAGAGGGAAGGACCCCAAATCTCAGTGGATAAATGCTCACTTTGGGAAGGATGCTGAGAACAAGCAGATCATTTCCTAGGTTAAAAGGAGGCTGTGCACCTCAGGATGGGGAGTGCAGGGATGAAGGGAGGTTTTTAACTCATTCTGTGTTTTGAGACAGTGCAAAGGCAAAGACGGGCCTGTGTTTCAGCTACAGAGGAACAGAGTGAGGGGACACTGTGCAGAAAGGTGAGGATTGAGAGAAAAGGACAAAGGGTTGTGTCCAAGTGACAGGACAGCTGGGAGGGATACCTCACCTCCCCTGCCTTGGGGGGAAGAGCAGCTCAGCTGCTGTGCCTGGATGGTGCTGTGGCCACCCCAGGGCCATCAGCATGGACACCTTTATGAGCAGTGACAGCCACCCACCTCATCTGGTCAGCCCACTCCTAATTAGGGCTTCTCATGTAGGACAATGCACCTTGCACTGAGTGCACTGGCACCTCCTCCCTGGCTGCAGAGCACACCCACACCTGGCTCAGGTGGACATCTGTGACATCCACCTGCACTCAGTGCACCCGTATGCTGAAAGATGGTAGATTTAGACTGGATTTATGGAAAAAAAGTCCTCCCTGAGGGTGGTGAGGCCCTGGCACAGGTGCCCAGAGCAGTTGAGGCTGCCCCTGGATCCCTGGCAGTGCCCAAGGCCAGGCTGGGCAGGGCTTGGAGCCACCTGGGACAGTGGGAGGTGTCCCTGCCATGGCAGGGAGTGGAATGAGAGGAGCTTTAAGGTCTCTTCCAACCCAGACCATTTTGGGATTCATTTCCAGCTGCAGCCATGCTGAGCACTTGGGGGCAGGGCTCTAAGGATACAAGAAACAGGACAGAAACTAAAATATCCACCATTGACTAAGTCAGACAACTGAATGTCCTCAAACTGGAGACTTAGGGGTGCAGAGGAAGCCAAGAATGCCAGTGCACCTGAAATTCTGGGTCTGCTGCAGTAAATTCTAACAGAATTCAGCACTGTGTTACTGGGAGTCACTTGAAATATGGTGCCAGTATTTGAAAAAACAGGTGGAAAAAATGATTTTTACAATAAAATGCCCATGGTCTGACCTCAGCAGCACCATGGCAGGAAATACACAGGGCACATTCTATGGCAGGTGTTCATCAGAGGAGGCCAACCCAACAGCCTCCCTGTGATGGGAAATCCTGATCTGTGCCATGAGGGAAGAGACATCAACCTCATACACCTGGAATTCAGCAAGATGTTACACTGAGAGCCAGCTGAGACAGAACATGAATTACCAGGAGCCTTGTTCTATGCACAGAAATCTGATTTGGGAGGTAAAGCTGTTGGCAGCAACTCAGAAGGAACATGAGACTGGGAGTGAATCTGCCTGAGGATCACCCTTGAGCCCAGGGTAATTTAATAACTGCAATAACTTTGGCAGAAATTTTAGAGATTTACCAATGAAATCTGCTGATGTCTTCCCAAGTCAGGTCAGACAAAGCAGCATTTAAAATCAGGAAGGAAGGATATATACATCTATATATATATATATATATAAAACCAAGAACCAGCAAGGAGGAAAATCCAGCAGCTAAATCCAGATGTGCACTTGCAGCACTGTCCCTTATGACCTGCAGGTGACACCAGTGATGAGAAGAATGGTGTATGTGACCAGGACAGGCTGATCACTGCCTGCTGCAAGGACACAGTGACTCCAAGTGACTGCAGAGACGTTTCCTGTGACCATGGTGGTGTCAGTGCTGTGGCACCAGGTCCCCAAGAGCTCCTCCCCAGAGTGCTGGGGGCCACTCTGGCCACCCCATGAAGTTTAAGTCAAACCAACACTTTCTGAGGAGAGCAAAAATCAGAGAATATGAACTCCTCTGAGGGCTACAACTGCTCTGCAACTGCTCCCAGAAGAAAGAGAACCAAGTTAAGCCAAAAGACAATATTAAGACCAGGAGACACAGACACCAAGTTGCCCAAGAATAAATTTGGGCTGGAAATTACAACATAGTTTCTAAAATCTCAGCATAAAACCCTGGAGCAGTCTCCAGCGGAAAAGCAAAATCCACAACTCCAGAGTTAATCCAAGAAGCTCCACGTGCTGTGGTGCTGTAGCAGCAGGAGCCTCTGTGGCCAGAAGGTCCCTCCTGTCCTGTGCTTTCAGACAGCCCCAGGTCCCATCATGTCCATGGTGCTGTGGACAGCAATCAGCTCCCTGCAAAGGGCAGTTCCTGATGCACAGCTCAGTCTGCTCCTCCTTATTTCCATTTATTCAGTGAATGGCAGCACACTGCTGAGCTAAGGGACACTGCAGACCTGCCCTCTGCCCCAGGCACACACCCCAACTCTCCATGGCACCCACAGGGTGCTCCTGCAAAGCCACTTTGGCCTGGGAACTCAGACCAGCTCCCAGTCCCAACCAGTGGCTGTCTGCTGGAAGAACCAGCCCCACACAACACATTCCTGTCCTGGAGAGGAAACACAGCAAGCAGGACATGCAGGGCTCAAGGTGAGACCACAGCAGCCCTGACATCTGGTGTGATTGAAGGATGTACAACTCCACCCTCATTCCTCCATGACCAGCTCAAAGTTCCCAAAATCACCAGCACTGTTTCCCTGCCCTCACCAGAAGCACTGCAGATTAGGTTATCACCTTCTTGCAGCTGCCTGAGAAAGGTTACATGAGCAGATGCCCAGGAAGCTCACAGATCAGGATGAACTGCAGGACTAGGTGCTGTCACACCTCTGACTGTGGTTAGTTTTTCTTTAAGTGCTGCAAACACTCTGAATCAGAGTTCAGGATGGGCAGGTCTCAGCATCCTATCAGATCTGGTGCTCTGCCTGAGTTTCCCTGAATTCTGATTTCTGCTTTTCCACTCTGCCCAGCAGAGCCCAACTCTTGGCACTGACCTCTCATGGAGGCTGGAAACCCTGTGTGAGAGCTGATCCATGCCCAGAGCTGGGTGCTTCCCCTCTCACTCAGGTTTTGCTCTCTCTCCTGATGACAGGGTACTGAAACATGGGGATTGCTTCTATTGAGGGTTCCTCAGGGGAAAGCCTCCAGTCCCAGTACCTGGTCATGCTGCTCCTGTCCTTGCATATCCTACAGCTCCTCTGCTCCTGGCCCTGCTGGCTCCAGCCAGGAGGAAGCAGAGGATGGGAAGATCCTTTTGCTCTCTAGACTCTGCCTAAGGTGCTTTGTGAGGTGCAATGAATGGAAGCACTGTGGCATTTGGCTGTGGCTCCCACACCTCATGCTTAGCAACTTCTCTTTAAACAGTTCTTCCTAAGTGCCCATCCTTTTACATTCATACAACTTTTGCTTTTCTTGCCAGAACCATAATTATGCAAAGGATTAAGTTTGGAAAGACCTCAAACAACACAACAGCTATTTGCTGACTAGAGGGGGAAGAAATCAAGACAGGAGAGGAAATCAGCACTTGTCAGGCACCAAAGAGGGTGCAGACAGCTTTGATCCTCTCCACAACTGACACTCCTGGAGCAGGAGCTCCCCCAGAACCCCCAGACAGCCTGAGGGGCAGCCATCACCCCAGGCCTGCTGCCACTGCCCAGCACTGTGGGGGAACTGCTGGGCTTGTTTCCACTGCTTCTACTTCAGAGCAGCTTTGCAGCCTGCCAATCTGCACTGTGGCATGAGCTGTCTTGCTGGGGTGAGCTGGAGCTGCTTCAATGCTATGCCAAGGAAAACAAAACCACCTCTGCCTCAGATTGAGCATGAGCATCACCCCTGAACAGGAACCCCACGTTGTTACCAGGGCTGGATGCCCTGGCTGCTGCCAGCAGATCCACGGCCAGTGTGGAAACCACTCTGCTTCAATTCATTTCTAATTCCAGTTTACTTGCTGCATGTTATCACTCTCCCTTTTCCTGCAGTCTTTCACCTGAATTCCTAGCTGTATGAAGTCACCACAATCAGATCACAGGAAGTGGGAAGGACTGGAGGATGAGGAGGGGAGGAGGGAAGACAAGGAGACAGCACGGATGAGCGGAAACCTCCAGCGGAGATGGGAACCAAACTGACAGGCAGAAAATGCAACTGGAACCCTACACAACAAGAGCCCTGTGGGCACGTACAGGACACTGGGTGTGATGTAATGAACCCTGGGAGAGGGCTCTGGAACAGGAGCCTGCCTTCTGAGATAGAGCTCAAACCTGAGTCCCTACAGTGCCACCCCCCCCAGCTCCTACCTGGTAGATACCTGTCGTGGTCGTACTGGTGAGAGCGCTGCATGTGGCTGTTCTGAGTGAAAGGCTGGTTCCCAAAGAGGTTGTCACTGCGCAGATTGTGGCACAGCTTCTCCAGGAAGCGGAGGACGTAGGTGATACTGTTAACTGCTGGCAGGTTCAGAGTGTGCTGTTCCCGATCAAACACAGCTGGAGACAGAAACAAACAGAGCCCAACACGTGAACCCCCCGCCAGGGCGGGAGGCTACGCCCAGGGCCGCACAGGCAGCTCCTGGATCTCAGCATCCTGGGCTCTCAGAGCCAACAAAGCCTTCCTCTGCCAGGGCAGGCCAGGACCAGCCTGCTGCACCCAGCACGGGGCCGGGGGAGCCGCGTCCGAGGGAACGGAAAAGATTCCAGGAGGGGCCTGCAGATCCAGCTAGGCCCGGGCTTAAAGGAGAAATAAAACCCGGCCTATTTCTTGTCTGTCCGTGAGGAGCTGTGGCATCCCCCCTGCTGTGGCTCTTCCCAGGGCTGGCAGGATTGCTGCCCAGGCTGGTGCCAGCGCTGAGCACTGCCTGCTCCAGCAGCTGCGCCCGCGGGCCATGGGAACTGCTCCGCTCTGAGTCAGCCGCCAGCTGTTGCTTCACTGACACACATGTGTGGCAAGAAAGAGAAGACAGAACTCTTGTGTCTGCCCCTGGCCTGTGGCTGCAGCGAGCTTCAGGACAGACATCTTCCAACGAGAGAATTCTTGCAACAACCTCTCTGGAGGCCAAGTGCTGCGGGCCCGTTCTCACCTGAGATGACCTCTCCCCCGTGGCCTTGTTTTAAGAAGGAGAAGACTGTTTTCTGATGATAAGCACAATCAATGCAGGCCTGTACTGCTTGCTGCAGGACAACAGAAGCTCGAGCTGGTCCAAAATGGTCTGGCAGCTGCTGAATTTTCTTCTTGTCTAGGTGGGGCCCAGTGCTGCCGTTCTTGTTCAAGTAAATGCAAACTGCCAAGATGAGAAATGTGTTTGCTGTTAACCCACTCAAGAAAGCAAGAAACAGATGCCTAAAATCCAACCTGAGAGATGCTGAGATATTAAGACTGTCCAATCACTGACAAAGTGGAATCCACCACGACTGCCTGACTGCATCCTCACAGTGGAGCCGCTTCTAGAGGGGAAGGAATCCCCTCCAAAATCTTCCTGCCTCATGCTCACCTTCCAAACTGCTGCTGTTTCTCCCATGCTCTCCCCTGCAGCCAGGCTGTAAAGTGGTTTCCATGCCAGCCAGGTAAGGTGGCTGTGATGTTCAGAGGGGAAGAAGGAATGCAGCCCCCACTTTCTAGAGGTTCCCACAGTGTTTCCTTTTTAGGGAAACTGGCTTCTTTAGGTTCCTCTGAAAACTGGCCAATTACATTCTGGGGAAACAGAGGGCTCAGCCCATATCCAGTGCTTGACTCAACATGTCAAAACCAGCTTTGCATTAGACTTTCCTGACCAGATTCATCCTCAGCTGTAGCAGTGCATAGACTCTTCACTGCTGCTCCTCCTCCTCCCCTATTCCCTCCTGTCCCTGTGTGCCTTGATATCCTGGCTGGAGCTGGGCAGATCACAGTCCTTCAGTACCTCCTCTGCCCCTTGTGCACTTCCAGCAGCTGTGCCTTGCATGGTGTGGGACTCACAAGGGGTTCTGCACACCTGACTGCCCCAGGGCACAACAGACCACAAATGTATCTGGAGAGCTGTGGAGTCACCAGCATGCAGGGGAAAGTGGTCCTTGCACTCAACAGGTGGGCTTGCAATCTTCCTACTTCATTATTTCCAATAGAAAGATAAATGAACAGCTACTCTGGACTCATGTGCCTCTCTCAGGCCAGCCCTTCTGAAGTGGTAAGGATTGCTGCTTTACAGGCTTAGGCAGAAATGGGACTCTCTCAGGGTGTTGCTGCCTGCCTGCTGCAGCTCCTAACTGTGCAATCCTGTCAAGAATGTGGTCCAAGACCCTCCTTACCTGTGGGAGCCTGCATGGCAGAGCTGGGGATTGTAGCAGCGTCCTGGGGCACAGTGCTTGTGTCTGGCTCTGGGGTACTGGTTGTTGGAGAGGTGGGTGCTGGGTTCAGCAATGTCCTAGGTTTCCTCTGCAGAAAAAGAGGAGATATTTCTCCTTTTACCCCTGCTCTCCTTTACCACCCATGATCACTACACTCTCTCCTCTGCATCCAACAGACAAGGCACTGTGGAACATGACACATTTCTGATGGTGATGACGGGGTGTCTCAAGAACCTAGTAATCAATATGTGCGTATTTTACAAACCACAACCCTAAAAAATAACGAGCCTGGGATCTGCCACCTCTGTTTGACTCAGACTAGCCACACACAAAGGACAGGAGAGCTTACTCTACCCTTTGGCCATCCTGTCATGCTCCCAGCATCTGCCATGCTACTCCACAGCCAATGCACTTCCAAAGACACGGATTCTTGATGGAAATGATCTTTAGGACACAGACATTCTCTACAGCTCTGGGGCTGGGCTCTGAGGACACTCCCAGCCCACACACCCCTCTGCTCTCCTACTTGCTGCAGTCACACAGCCAGAGGCTGAGCCAGATGTGCACAAACACACGCATGCACCAACCCATGGCAGGACCTGCAGCACCTGCTGTTCACCCGCCTGCATCAGCATCAGCTTTTACCTTACTGCCAGGCTTGGGGCCTCTCTTTCTGGGGAATTTCAAAGGCTCCACTGACTTGGAGGGTGTAGGCATGGGGTGGTGGATTAGTGTTTTGGTCGTTCGACCACGCTTCTTCCCTGTTTTGCGACGCCTTTGCCCTTGTTGATGCCCCAAACCAGCCTTTGTGCTACTGTGCATGCTAGGTTTCTCCGAGTTTACTTCGGAGGCAGGTAAAGGGCTCTTTGGAATCACAACTGAAATAAAAAGAGAAAAAGCAAATGTAATTAAATCAGGTGAGAATCAAAACAAGAGCAGCCTCCATCTTTATACACATGGAAAAACTTGGAGAACTCCCAGACCCCTGGGTGGGGGGGGACTGCTCTCCATGCCAGAGTCAAAACCAAACACATGGATCCCCAGCTCAGAACTCGAGCTGGGGGACACTGGGGCTTAACCTGGAGGGGCTGAACTCCAGAAGGATCATGCTTGCAGCCATACCTTCCTTCCTGAAAATAACTGGCACCTACATCTCTTCCTTCTGCAAGTAGTGACCTGCCAATGGCCACGGAAAAGGCTCTGAGAGCATTCCTAGGGAGGGATCAGCCAAGACCTGTCTGACAGTCACAGAACTAGTGCTGCAAACACTGGAAATCCCCTCTCTCAAGGCTGATGTCAAATCTGTTCCTAAATTGCCAGCAAACTGCAGTGGAAGGGAGCAGCTCCACCCTCCCTGCCTGCAGGGATTATTGCTCCTGGTCCTGAGCAATAGCTCATCTCTGCTGGACCAGCTGCCCTGCCCCTCCACAAACTACCAGGGGCAGGTGTGCTCCTTCTTATCTTATTCTTTCCAGCACAAAATCAGGTTTCTGCTAGACTTGCCCACACATCCCCTAAATTTGTTCAATCATCTTTCCCAAGCCTGCTAAAGGCCAGAGATATGCTGGCCCAGCCTAGTAGACCAGTATTTCCTTCTGTTTTAAATTTCTGTTAAAAAGAAACAAACCAAAATCCTGCTGCATTATGAAAACTGCAGAGTGGTCTTTAGGATGTCTTGTTTCTCATATCTGGAAACCTCAACATAGGGGCAGGGAATTAGGTAAAAACACAGGCAAACTTTTGAAATCAGGGGCTTTGTAGTTAAGGAAAAAAGTCTTAGCCAAGGAAACAAAGTACAATTAAAGACTGATACCAGGATGGCACAACTGTGGGCATATACAGAGATTTTTAAGGTTTCTGTAATGAGGTTTTAGGAGCAGTTACTGTGAGCAGGGATTTATTCCCCTGGCACAATGAAGTTGTGGCTGCCCCTGGATCCCTGGCAGTGTCCAAGGCCAGGCTGGACAGGGCTTGGAGCAGCCTGGGACAGTGGAAGGTGTCCCTGCCATGGCAGGGGGTTGGAATGAGATGAGATTTAAGGTTCCTTCCAACCCAAATCACAGAGTGCATCCAGGATCCAGCCCCATTCTGCTTGCCATGTGGGCATGTTTATTTTTAATTTTATTTCCTTGCTTTCGTGCATTAGCATTCTGTATTAGAAGCTGAGAAGAGCTCCACAGTCATCAGGATCTATCTGACTTCCTGAATAAAGACTTTTTTGTGTCAGGCAGACACAGGGACTGTGGCAGAAACAGGGTTTTACTATTTTTTGTCTGAGCTGTTAGTGTTAAAAGCAAGATTATTTTGCTGTTAATAAAATGAGTGTGATAGCTCAGGTGCTTCTTAGAGCTGATGGTACTCCAGAAGTGTCACCTGCTCCAGGTGACACCTGGCACTGAGCTGCAGGGAGGAATGGCACAGGTAAGGCAGGTGCTGATCATGGAATCCTGGGGCCTCTGGCTTCAGGTGTGCAGTGACTGATCTCAGCAGAGAAATGTTTGTATTTATTAGAATCCCACAAGCTGTGGCTGCCCCTGAATCCTTGGCAGTGCCCAAGGACAGGGCTTGGAGCAGCCTGGGACAATGGGAGGTGTCCCTGCCATGGCAGGGGTGGAATGGGATGGGATTTAAGGTCCCTTCCAACCTACACCAATCCATGATTCTAAAACTCTCCATACTTCAAAGAAACTTAAATATCAAAAGGATGTGGAAGCCAGGGCAGGGAGCATTTCATTTGAGATCTGCACAACACTCAGTGTCTAAACCAAGCTGTGCCACAATGAGGTTTCTCTAATGTGGAGGAAAAAATGAGAATTCTACAGCCAAGCTGTGAGGCAAACATGTTTTCTCAGTTTTACTAGTAACAAACCCAGAGAAATGGTGCATTTGGGAAGCTGGCATGCAGCAGGCAGAGCAGCTGGACTGCACCCTTTGCTCCCAGGCTGGGACCACACCACTGAGAACTCACTGCCAGGAAAAAGGAGACTGCTGTCAGATGAACTCCTGGTGCAAGCTTTCACTGTGTAATCTTATGTTAGTAAGTGATTATAATAAGTGATTTCATCTTTTGGTGAAATAAATGCAAGAAAAATCTGTTGCCCACTTCAGCTGTAAAGACAGTACACATCACAGTAATTTGCCAGGCTTGAAGAATTGGCTTTGGGATTTGGACAATAAAAGCCCATAACTGGGTGCATGCAGATCCCCTGATGGGACACCTCATGTCATTCAGCCACCCAGAGGAGTTCCCACTGTGCCTGTGCCCCTGGCAGCACATCCCTGGTCCCTCTGCAGCCACAGCTCCTGCAGGGATGGAGGAGCTGCCACAGCAAGGGAGGCTGTTCACTGAAACAGGCTAAATTACATCTAAATGTGCAGCCAGCTCAGGCCAGAGAGACCCAGACTGTGACCTAGATTGGTGCTGTGTGCCCAGCAGTGCTGCTGAGCACAGCCCTGGGCACAGCCCTGGACAGGCACTGATGTTTTCCCTGGAGCTGATTCCATCAGACTGATGCAATGCACAGACATTTTTCTGACCTGCAGTGATTTAATGAAATGAGGTCTTATCCTCCCACGATTCAGCAGACTTGCCTGGCTTTTTTCTTGGATTTGAACCAGAATCTGAGCAAACACTAGGCTATGCTAATACATTTCTCCTGCCCTAGCAGATGCACGGAGCAGAGTCCTCCCACCAGCTGAACCTGCACATCAGTGGTGCAGCCCCCAAAGCACAGGGTTACAGCTGGCCACACTCTGCCTCACCCCCAAGGCACCACTTCCAGTGACTGGATGCTCCCTAAAGGAGCCTGTAGCTTCTTTTCAGGTACCTGTTATTTTCCTGCAGGACTTCAGCCCCTCCTGTCATGCAGATGTGGTCCAGAAACACAGGATTGCTATGCAGGGATCAGTGCCCAGCACTCAGCCCTGCCTGCACCCACCCCAGCACCCACAGAGCTCCAGAGGTGGAAACAGCTGTGCCCAGCAAGCAGGATTATCTCACAGCTCTGAGCACTGCCAAAGTCTCCTTTAACTGCCAAAAGCTTCAATTTACTGCATCTTATTCTTATTATTATTACATCTTAATTATTAAGGATCTAGAGCTATCAAAGAGTGTCCAAAGAGGGGCCACAGAGATGCTGAAGGGTCAGGAGGGGCCGCAGGAGGAGCAGCTGAGGGCTCTTGGTGTGTGCAGCTGGAGCACAGTGAGGGCAGAGCTCAGGGATCTGCAGCTCCTCCCGAGGGGCAGCTCCCATCCCTGCTCTGGGCCAGGGACAGCAGCCAGGGCATGGCTGGAGCTGGGCCAGGGCAGCTCAATGCTTTGTGTAGGCTGAGCTAGAGCAGAGACTGGATGGAGTTAAAGAATAAAGCAGGGATTTATTAAAAGTCCTCAATGGATGCACCTTGGGCAGCACCAGAGCCCAGCCAGGGCTGCACCCAAGATGAACCAAAATGGTCCCAAAATGAACCCAAGATGAACCAAAATGGCCCCAAAATGCATGGCCGGGCACGGGGTCTCTCCCTTGGATCAGTTCTGCTCCATTTGCATCTTGCAGTTCATTGTCCCATTCCAGCTTTAGCCCCTGCAGTCCCACCCTGCTTGTTTTTCTCTCTCCAGCCCACGGTGTTTGTGCTCCTGGGCTGAGATTTGGGTCATTTGTCCTTGGTGCCCAGCTGGAGCAGGAATTGTTTTGTGTCCCTGCTCTGTGCACAGAGCTCAGCATCCCATAATGTGAACCCAGACCCACACACTAAAGCAGAACAGAACCTGAAAAATAGAAAAGCTGAAACCTGAGGCATCAGGCTCAGGCTGGAGCTCAGGGCAAGGCTCTTCCCCCAGAGGGTGCTGGGCACTGCCCAGGCTGCCCAGGGAATGGGCACGGCCCTGAGGCTGCCAGAGCTCCAGGGATGCCCAGGCTGGGCTTGCTGGGGGCTCTGGGCAGGGCCAGGGGCTGGACTGGCTGATCCTGTGGGTCCTTCCAGCTCAGGATATTCTGTCATTCTATGATTCAGCTGGTGACAGGGCGAGCCCAACAACGAGCAGCTGCCAGAGACATCCTCACTTTCTTTTTCCTTGTGCAAACCACTAAGAGGAGCCGTATTTTCAGAAAATCAAGTGGAGCCTCTCTTACTTAAAAAATCAACTCTTCCTGAGTAAAGCAGCATCTCTGTGCCACAGCTTTGTTGCTCACCTGAGCTCTGAGCAATCTAAAGCTGGCCTTGCTTTGCAGGAGTTGAGCCATGCAACCCTGAGCTCCTTTCTGACCTGAATCTGAACTCATGGCTATTTCAGCTCATTAAGGGGACAAAAACTAATCACTGGGAATTTTCTGCTGGCTGAACTGTCTTGTTTTGGGTCACACAGGCATCCAGGACAATGGCAGACATGGAGGAGGAGGAGGAGGCTGGCTGGCATTGGATCCATTTGGCACAGTGAGACACATCACCCTGAAAATGCAGCTCAAACACAGCTGAGCTCAGAGCCAAAGAGAAGCTGGGCACCACTGATGATGTTATTCCCCATTGAAAGATTAGTTTAAACAAGAGTTTTGAGCTTTCTGCAGAAACAAAGAGACTTGACAGAGAATTCCTGATTTCAGGCTCTACTTCCTAATGCCAAATATTCCATCAGCTGATACAAGGCACCTGCAGCTGCCCACCACACTGGGACTCAAACTGTTGCTTACAGGAGACTCTGCACAGTTGCCATCCACACTCTGAGGGTTAGTCAATGCTTGGAAGCAACATTTGTCACCCATCAGCTTATTTGAGACTTGTCACAGCTTGAAGAAGACAAAATTATGTCCTTGGGACAAGAATTACAAAGTCAAAACATACAAAAATATGGAACAGAAAAGCTTGAAGTTGCAGAAAGGTTTCC